CTCTTCCAAACTACCTTTTTCCTGTATTGATTCCAAATCTTCTCGTGTTTTTTTTTTAAAAACAATACATCATAGTCACACTAACCATCCACGCCTTATTAATAACTCATGCTTCTGCAAAGCACTCACTCGTTACTGCCATCGTCTACTCAACTAGAAACAGGCCCCTTACGTGCCTGGAGAGCTTCCAACTATTCCAAAATTTTGTCCAAGGACTTATCCATCATTTTAAATAACCTCGCTCGGATTCTTAAAATTGTCCTGACCCCACAGAACAACTGGAGCTCTTTAAATAAGTCCTACAAATGTAGTCCTTATTGGTCAGGGGCCTTACCCGCTTGCTCACAAGGACGTTATGCACAGTAAAGATACGCCACACGACCAGAGCAAGTTCTTTTTCCTCCCGAAATCAATTTCAGAGTCCCTAACTTCATGTCCACCTCTGATTCCTGGGATTTTTTGCGTGGTTGTGTGTGTGTCGGGGGGAGGGCAAGGAGACGTTCCTCCTTTTCCAGTAACTCAACATTTACTAGGATCAATCGCCAGGCCTCCGCATCAATTAACATCTCCAGTGTGCCTTCCATGTCCGCTCTCGGGACCTTCGATTTGTTTGGGTCCCACCAACCCTTTGGGACACTAAGTTTGTTTAGGGCCCGAGCACAGGTTCTCTCCCGCGTCCTCGTCTGTGAACCAAGGACGGCTTTAGCAGGTCGACCGCTCACGAGTCAGGGCCGGGCGAGAAGGGCTGACTGACCAGGAAACCTTTTGCCGTCGCTCGGAGGGAGAAGAAACGGCCCCGGGGCAGAGGCAGACAGCGCCTACGTGCTCCGGAGGCCGAGCTGGGAGACCGAGAGGCAATCCGGCCGGGAAAAACAAGCGTGAGGAGGCCGAGGCTGGAGGGGGAAGGGAGGCGGGAGAAGCCGGACCCGGACCGGATCCGGGAGGGGCGGGGAGGGCAGCTCGAGTGCGGCGGCTTCGGCGATCCCCGCCGGCCCGGAGGCGGCGTGGCCGTTATCGCCCTCACGGAAGGGAAGTCGGGGAGCGTCCTCCACTCACCTGGAAGCGGCTTCCGCCGGAGGCTCCAGCGGCCCCCTTCCCAATCTAAGCCACGTCAGCTCGGGAATCCCAAGCGCTACAACTACCACCGCCGCACCGCGCCGCGCCCCGCCAGGGACTCAACCCCTCGCGGTCTGGACGGAAGGTGGGATTATGACATCAACCAATCAACGGTATCGGCAGGGAGTTACCACGGAGACCAGGCACGCCTTGTTTGTAACTAATGACAGTAACCAATCAGAACCTCCGACTCACTCGGTTCCTTGCTGAGACAGCCAAAGGGCTCTAGGAGATAGACGAAGGGCGGGATTACACGCGCGAGCAAGTGACCCGGAAGAGCATATTTAAAACCGGAAATAAGGGGAGGGTGGGCGTTCCGCGACGGGTCAGGTGTTTGCTGTGTGAAGGGGAAAGTTCCGGTTGTCCCAAATTGCTCCCCTTGAATTTTCTGTGACTGTGGGGACTTTGGACTGAGGGCACTGGTGGCGTGGGGACGGCTGGATGAACTGTGAGAAGGGAGCGGGGCTGCATGAGCTCTCGCTCGTAGAGTTGTGATGGAGTCCAAGAGTTAGTCATCGGGTAAGACCATTGCATTTTGCCAAAAAGTTGGTCACCCGGTACGCTCGTTTCATTTTGCGATGAAAAACCAGAGCCGGACAAGTGTCTTGCCCAAAGACGAGCGGCAACTCCGAGTCTGGATGCGGAGTAGCACCTGGTGTCAGTGTGAAAGAGGTTCTGGGCGGTCTCGGAGGACATGGTGTGTGAGGGACTTGAGCAGAGGAGGACGTTTGGTGATGTGAGTTAATGAATTCCAGCCAGACCATCAAGTCGTGTATGCCTGTTGAGCTTCCAAGGAAAAGGAAAGAACAGCAAAACAGCCAACTCCCAGTATCTGTCATTTCAGGCATTTTCTTAATAGCAGTAATTTTTTAAGTTATTGGATCTGACTGTGTACTAAGTCCTCAGTCAGTTCATTAAATATTCATCCTTACCCTATTGATTATGTAATCTCTTGAGGTTCAAATACCAGTTCAGTAAAGTCTTTTCTGACTACCCAGCTAAAACTGTACGTTTCTTTATGTCTTAGGAGTTTTCTTTGCTCTTTCCTTCCCCTAAGCATTTTACTATCCTAACATACTATTTATCTTATTTTTCTCTTCAATCCCAGAGAAACAGGAATTTTTGTCTCTTGATCTCAGCTATATCTCCAAAACATACAGATATTAAGACAGGAGGGTGCTTATTGTCTGTTGATACAATAAAGTATATAGGATTATCCTTATTTTACATGTAGTACAATAAACTTCGGGAGCTTAAATAATTTACACAAGGTCAGATGGTGAGGGGCAGAAATTGGAAGGATTTAAAGAGGCAGGATTTCAAGTAGCTATGTAATGCCAGAGCTGCAGGATTTTTGTTAGCACATGATGTTTTCAAACCCTAGTAAACCCCTAGCCTGGATCAAGTCAACAACTGGTCTTTTCCACTATTAACTTTTGTTATGTAGAATGCTGCAGGAGACATCAGGACAGTGTCAGTGTCACCTACTGGATCAGTGTCATGATCACTGCACTTTCCAGGCTCACTAAATCTTCAGGACCCTTTGAAATCCAGTGTGTCTTTAGCTTGCTCTTCTACTTACATTTATTCAAACTTGTTCAAGTCCCAATCTCATATTTACTCATATTCCCAGAAGATATCACCAGAGAGTCCTATTGAACAGTATCTTACACAAACTTTACCTTTCTGTATACTTATTTGTTTCCATTTTGAACTGTGGAATTGATCTTTCAGTTTTATGGTAATGATACTTCCTTATGGAAGAAAAAATTAGAAAATTGCCTGCCTGGTGGGGGGCCTGCACTCCCCTCTTTCCTTGGGTGAACACAGACTAGGAATTGCGTTAAAATTACAGTGAACACTAGGGAAATGGGGGAAGAAAAAGAAGGGATGGAGAGGTTAAAGTACTAAGTTGAGCCTTCTTCAAAGGCATTGATTGAAAATAAGAGTCCATTTTTGTGAGTTATTTGACTTTTTTTTTTTCTTTTCTGAGACAGAGTCAGGTAGCCCAGTCCTGGAATTCACAATCCTTCTGCTTCTGCATGCTGGGATTACAGACTTTGTAAAAGCCTGCAGAAATATTAGGGCTGCTGTTGATACTCCACACTAGAATTAGCAAGACTGGATTTTTTCCAAATATGTCATATAATAATTCTGCATCTAAAAATCAAGAACTCTTAACAACAACATGCTGGAGGGGATGTGGACAAAAGGGAACCTTACTTCATTGTTGGTGGGAGTGTAAACTTGTTCAACCACTTTGGAAAGCAGTATGGAGGTTCCTCAAAAGACTTCACATAGAGCTCCCCTATGACCCAGCAATCCCACTTTTGGGCATTTACCCAAATGTTTACAAATAAGACCACACTAAAGCTACCAGCACAACTATGTTTATTGCAGCATTATTTACCATAGCTAAGATATGGAACCAACCCAGATGCCCTTCAGTAGATGAATGGATCAAGAAAATGTGGTATATATACACAATGGAATTCTATGCCTCCATCAGAAAGAATGACATTGCCCCATTTGTTAGGAAATGGAAAGGCTTGGAAAAAATTAAGTGAAGTAAGCCAAGCCCAAAGAAACATAGGTCCCATGGTTTCCCTTATTTGCAATATCTAATATATGTATGAGTCAAGCAGAAAAGGTCAGATAAGTTGATATTAGGAAAATGAACCCTTAGATATGTATTTAAATGTTTTTTTCTTTCATGCATTTGTTTCTAACACATTTATAAGATTATTTCTTTGTTGCTTTGTATGTCCCTCCCCCACAGTATAACCCCTGCTTTCACTATATTTGATGTTGGTATAATTTGTGGAGGAGATGGGGAAAAACAAGTCGTTTAAGGATACAGGTGGACCCGTTGCAACAATGAGAAGTACAAGTTGTCATGTCGAAAACGAACTTTACAACTTTGGTGGGGGGGGGGGGGGGGGGAGTTGGTGGGGAGGGAGAATTGGGTGGGGGGGAGAGGGGAGGCTGGGAAGGGATGTGAAGGGAAACAAAGGAGGAGGCTACAATGCTTGATAAGAAATGTACTCATTATCTTGCCCATGTAATTGTAACCCCTCTGTACAGTATGTTCACAAAAAATAAAAAAAATAATAATTCTGCATCTTTGTTTACATCCTGCTGGCAGAAAGATGGAGAAAAGCAAAGATAGGAGGCAGTGAAGAAAGAGGAGAGGGAGAAACTAAATCATAGTGAGTTATATTCAGAAGTTCCCATAAATCATTCAATGACAAAGTATGTTTTAAATTTATATCCCTCTGAGCAACAATGCATCTGACTTTGTCCAGGGGTAGTGTTTCTCTCCGTCTCCATTCCTTTCTTACATCCAATGGAATTCTGCAATTGCCTTAGGGGTGAGAAAATCTTTTTAGCAGTTTAGGGTTTTCAATATTAAGGCTTAGGGAAGCAAGTGGGCTTTGGGAATGGCACTCTGCAGTATACTATCACTTTTGCCTGGTATGCCCACAAAGGGGACTGGGGGATTGCTTCAGGTCCTGCTCCCAACTTTCTTTGTGAGCATATATTTATATATTCTGAGTGGTCATGCTACCTACATTTGGCCTTTAAAAATTAAAAAAAAACTATTTTAGTTGGTTTCTTCTTACCTAGTCACTCTTTCTCTTGAACTCTAATAAAGATGAAATAATTTATTTTGCACAGACTGAGTTCTCATCTCAGTTTATGTGGCTAGATAGAGGACTTAGCTATCTGATAGGTTCAAAAAATGTGTATTTCTGGTATTGTTTCAAGATTGAGGCAACATTTTTATATTTTTCTATATTCTAAGTAAAACCAGAAAACTTACCTGCTTATTCTTTTTCATTATAAATGAAATTAAGAGTTTTGAATGAAATTTTACTAAAATTAGCTTTGAGAGAATGGATAGCATTATAGGACTGAGTATTCCCATCAAGAAATACTGGTATTTCCACTCACTTATACAAAGAGAACTCTCTAGGTTCTTTATGGTAGTTATATTTTTTACTTGTTTTAAATTCCATATTGTTACAAAAACAAATTGAGGTGAATTCTGCTATTAAAATACAATTAAGAGTAAATAAGGAAACCAGGAATTATTACAGCCAAATCATATAGGTATCTATGATCATAACTAACATTAAGTGTATTTATCTCTGAGATTCCCAAAAGAGACCAAAAAGGAAGCAAAAGGTTATATAGTTCTTACAGTTAAGATAGTCTTATCTGGAGAAATTTTTCTGGTATCAAATCCTATTCAATAGTACTCCCCTTCAAGGACAAAAATCGATCTCCACAAACAACAATAATAACAATCAGTAATTCTTAATAACAAATGTGAAAAGCTGAAATAATCCTGACAAGTTTTTCAGAACTGTTGAAAATATTTATTTAGAAAAAAACCTTTAGCTGGAAAACAGAAATGAAAGAAATTTCACATTTCACACAATAGAATTCTATGCTGAATTTAGTCCAACAGTAAAAGCCATACACCTCTATTTATGAGTCTAGAAACAGGGGTATGGAATAAACAAGAAAACAGAGAGGTAGATAACTCCTTTCTTAGTGCCTACAACTTTTGTTTGGGGAGAATCCTTTGGCAAAAATGAGTTAGGATGGCCCTCATCTACCAGCAGGCCAGAGGTAGTATCAACATAATGTCCTGAAATACAGGACTTATGTCAGTTTTCATGTTAAGTTTTAAGGGGGTTTGGTCCCACCAGTGAATAAAGCTCCTAATTCTATACTAAGCTCATCCTGTTTAATATCAATCTCATAATCTAGTTCTTCCCCAAGCTTCTTCCACCAGGGTGCTTGTATATGCTTCAGTGTGTTGAAATGGGCCTGCTTTGCCTTTGCTGCTACTGGGCCAGACCTGCTTAGGAAGTGCTCAGGTTCTTTCCCTTCTGCCTCCTTCAGATTTGGTGCCTCTGTAATAAACAGAAAATAATTGGTGAATGGAGGCATCCTGTGCCAAACAAGTAGCAACTGAGAAACTACAGAATAGGAATTTTGCCACAGCAGACAGGGACAAGATTCCCACTGCTGTCTGTTACCATGGCCAAGTGGATGGTAAGTGACTCTTCAAAAGTTGCAGTTGCGACTGGCAGCAATACCCTTAAACCCCTGGAAACTTTTATGTTTAAAACAAGTGAGTGATAGATGGTTTTTTAATAGGTGGTTACATATAAAATTATTAGTGAATAGTACTGTACTATCATGTACTTTGTTGGAGGCAGTTCTGGGGCGTGCTAGATAGGTACTTTTTCACTTGAGCCACATCCTCAGCCCTTTTTGCTTTTGTTATTTTTTGAATTAGGGTCTTGGATTTATGTCTTAGCTGGCCTAGACAATGAGCCTCCTATTTATATTTCCTAGATAATGACTTAACAGGCACACCACTATAACCAGCTTTTTAGAGACAGGGTCTCAAGAACTATTTGCCTGGGCTGGCATTGAACCATGAGATTTTTCAATCTCATCTTCACAGGTAGTGAGTATTACAGATGTGAGCTACTATATGTGTCTCACTATATATGTGAGCCACTTGGCTTATCATCATTATTTCTAAAATATGATAAAACCCAGCTATGGGCTCATAGCTCAAGAGTGTAATCCTAGCTACTTGGAGTAGAGACTAGCAGATTGCAGTGGGAGATTTCATGTCAACCAATGGGTGGGTACAATGGTATGCACCTGTTATCCTTAGTGATGCATAAAAGCACAAGTAGGACTGTAACTCAAGTCATGAAATGCTCCCTTGAAAATAAAGCAAAAAGTAGCTGGAAGTCTGGCTCATGTGGTAGCGCAGCAGCATAGCAAGTGTGGGGTTCTGAATTCAATTCCTAGTACCATCAAAACCAAAATTCAAACCAAACAATCTTCCCTCAGAAAATCCTTTGGGAAGTATATAACAGAATCTGATTAGTAGGACTCAGCATCCTTGAAATTAGTAAATTTGAGTTGATACATGTGAATGTATTAAGGGTACAGGTGAAAATATGTCCTGGGGGGTAATCTACATGTGGAAACTTTGAGGATAGGGTTAACATACCAATGATGTGTCTTCTAAAGATTTTGTCACTTGTATGGGTTTTTTTTTCTTTTTTGTTGGTCTTGGGGCTTGAACTCAGGGCCTGGGTGCTGTTTCTAAGCTCTCTTTGCTCAAGGATAGCACTCTACCACGTTTGAGCCACTTCTGGATTTTTGAGTGGTTAATTGAAGATATGAGTCTCACAGGGACTTTTCTGCTTGGGCTGGCTTCAAACTACCATCCTCAGATCTCAGCCTCCTGAGTAGCTAGGATTACAGGCATGAGCCACTAGCACCTGGTTTTCCTTTCAGGAAAACAAAAAAGAGCACATACTCATCAACTGTTCAATACTGGTGCTGATCTGAGCCATAAGAGCCTCTCTGTGCTGCTGGGATCTTTCTTCTACGACTCTACCCATAAAGTAGTGCTGCAGTCGTTCTTGAGCTTGAGCATGTAGTTCTCTGCTGGCCACATCTGACATCTGAGAACCCTGGAAACACAAGACAGAAAAACTTGTCATGAGAAGGAGATGTATATCCAAGTATATTTTACCCAACTACTTAGCAAAAGACCTTCATTTTACCAACAAAATCTTAGGATAACTGATATCTATATTACACTCTACTGCAAGTAAAAAACAGACTCTTTAAAACAACTTTATATAAAAATGTAGGTGAGGAAGTATCCTTTTGGAAACTTAGGTAGTGGTATTGTAGGTGAAGAGATAAAAGAGGAGGTAACAGTGAAAATTAGGGATAGTTTGGTAAAGGTATTGGCTCAGAAGAGAAATAACAAGGCCTACCCCTTCTTTTCTGGACCTCATTTAAATTACTACCTTATTTCTCAATCCATTCCTGCTCCCAAACCTATCTAAGTTATAATGTTAAAACTGCTTCTTGTTTCACAGAAGGAGGAGCAAAATCAGCTGAAAGATCATATATTCTTTACACTAATCACTACGGTAAGAGGAACCTGGAAATCTTTGCCTAATTCACAATGTTTGCTTAAGTTAAAATGTTTCTCCAATGTTTTCCTTTAGAATTTTTTATTGTTTTATGATATGTATTTAGGTTTATGATATATCTGTGTCCTTTTTCTTTTTAAATGTCCAATTGCTTCAGTTCTCTGCTGCATTAACTGAATGTACCTCTGCCAAGAATTAATTGGTCATATATGTAGGTTTGTTTTTTGACTAGATTAACTTCTAGCTCTTGGAAAAATAAGTTTCTTTAAAAATTTTTTTTGCTGGTGACTTCGGAGTTAGAATATTAAAGACTTTTCTCCCTAGGCTGGCTTCAAACTGAGATCCTCTGGATCTTAGCTTCCTGAGCACAAGTATGAGCCGTGAGTATCAAGCTACTAGTTTCTGTTTCTATCAGTTTGCTTATTCTAGGTCATTCAGATAAATGGATTCATCCAATATTTGTCTTGTTTCTTGCTTATTTCACTTAGCATGTCTTCAAAGCTCATCTATGTTGGCATAGCAGAATTCTTATGTCTTCTTAATTAAATGGCCCCTTTATCATTATACTTTGTTCCACATTGTATTTTTTCATATTTACTCTTATAATCAACATATAGTCTGTAAGGTTCAGAACATTTACACTTATTGTCTATCATCTTGATATATTCTATTTGTTAGCTTTTTTCTTTTTAGTCCTTTTTGATTAATTAGGTATATTTTGTGATTCAATATATTTGTAATTTGCTTTGTAATATTATTAGCTATATAACTCTTTGCTTTTAATTTTTTTGGTTACTTTAGGGTTCTTAGTATGCACTTTTAATTTATCATATTACCTTTAAGTAATAGAACACTTCATGTAGAAGAAACTTTCAATCATGTATTGTTTCTTCCCTCCAGGTTTTTATGCTCTTGTTGTACAAAATGTGCATTTCACCTTTAGAATGTTACAAACAATATTATAAATTGATATTAAACAGACTAAAACCAATAGCCTGTTCATGAAAATGGTTTTAACTGACATAGAGTGACACATTTTCATATAATCTATGGCTGCTTTAGTCCCCAAGAATGGAGGAATATTTAGCAGAGAGGCTGAATGGCCTACAAAACTGAAAAGTTTGGCTATGTGGTGCACATTAAAGATGCAGTTATATTTAATAAAGATTTATATAATGAGGAAAAAATATATAAGGGTTTATATAAGTAGGAGGTCTTACTTGTATCACTGAACTAAATTGTGCTATTCAATTAAGATTTTATCATTGCTTATTTCAAGGAGCTACCATATTTATGCTATAATCCTCTTGTTATTATTTATTTTTTTGCTGGGAGGCAGGGGAGCTGTTCTGCATGAATAAAAAGATGAACAGCAGGATTATCTAAATATCACATCAGACAACTAACATTAGTCATTTAGTCTTTCAGTTTTAACTATGTGTGTATGTATTTCTGTGAAAAGGAGGGAGGGAAAACAGGAGGAAGAATTGGAGGAAAAGAGATCATGAATTTAGACACAACATCTACCATAATCATAGCAAAATGTGAATAGTACCAAGATATACTAACTGTAGTTGATTCAAATGAAGTAAGAATTCTGATTATGAGAAATGTATAAACTAGCAACTATAAAATTTAAGAAGTATGTGAAAGTTGGAAGAAATGTTATCAGTAGAAGTACAGGTAATTAAAACGAATGACAGAGGTAGTAAATCACTTGAGAAAGGATCTTCACAGACATATAGGAATGTAAGGTCAAGAATCAAGAAAGCCAGGCACTGGTGGCTTACACCTTTAATCCTAGCTACACAGGAGGCTGAGATCTGAGGTTTGTGGTTCAAAGCCAGCCTGGGCAGGAAAGTCCATGAGACTCTTATCTTCAATAAACTACCAAAAAAGCCAGAGGTGGAGCTTTGGCTCAAGTGGTAGAGTGCTAGCTTTGAGCAAATGAAGCTCGGGGACAGCACCCATGCCGAGTTTAAGCCCCAGGACTGGCAATAAAAGAACTATGATAGAAGCAGCAAATACCACTTGATGTTCAGTACTGTGGTCACAGAAAGTTTGAAATATGGATGTGTCCATTAGGAAGAAAATATTTTCAGTATTACAGTAAGAAAAAGATGCAGGTTCTCAAGTGCTGTATCTGATTTAAGATTCCTGGGGGTTTGGGAATAATCTAGCAAATATAAGTTCTTATGTATGCTTGGGTATACATATGTAAGAATGAATACTATTGATTGACAGCTACATATATATGTATATATACATATGTGTATAAACACACTTGGTTTTTTTTTTTTGGGCGGGGGGGTCCAGTCGTGGGGCCTGAACTCTGGGTCTGGGCACTATCCCTCAGCTCTTCAGCTCAAGGCTAGTGCTCTATCACTTGAGCCACAGCACCACTTCTGGCTTTTTTTCTTTTTGCTTATGTGGTGCTGGGGAATCAAACCCAGGGCCTCAGGCACACAAGGCAAGCGCTCTACCACTGAGCCACCTTCCCCGCCACACTTGTTTTTTTTTTTTGTGCTAGTACTAGGGTTGAACTCAAAGCCTTGCATAGCTTTCTTCTTCATGACCTGATATTCTACCACCTGAGCCACACCTCCAGCCCAACTATATATGCTCCTTTTGGAAGATTTAAAGTAGCCAAAGTTTTACTGTACTATTGTAAAAGAAGCAGTGATTATGTCTATTGGTGTAGTATGGGAAATAACTGATTTGAAGAAAAGCCTCCTTTACTACTGACTACTTTTTGCAATAATAAGAAGTTAGTGGAGGTGTGGCTCAAGTGGTAGAGCATTATCCTTCAACAAGAATAACAACAACAAAAAGCTTGAGGGCAGCACCCAGGCCCTGAGTTCAAGCTGCAGGACTGGCACAAAAAAGAAAGACTTTAAATCCATTCACATTATGGTAAAGCCAATGAATTACCTTGTATCAACAAACAATAACTGTGCATACACATATAAAGCACTGCTTTTCTGAATACCATAAAATGACGAAGAGGCCTACATACTGGATGTCTTCTGATATAGTCATCTACTTGTTGTTTTAGTTCCACTCTGCGTGCATCAGGCAGTTCTTGGAATCTGTGCCAGGAAGCAAACAGTTTCCTTTTCTTACGGCACTTTGCTAGGAATTTAAGAACCTGGGGAAGAAAGAAGAGGCTTGTGATTTTGCTATCTTCTCTCTACAGCATAATGTAGTGACACCCATGCACACTGAGTATGTATGAGAAATGGGATAAGAAGGTGATGGAGTAAAGGATGGACAATGACCTTTTAACTATACAGGTGTTCTTCAATTTAAGGAGAGGCTGTGTCCTGATAAGCCTCTTAAAGTTGAAAATACTGTTGAGTCACAAATACATTTAATACACCTAGCTTATGTAACACCATAGTATGGTTTCTGATGAATGAAACATCACTTTTCATATCATGCTAAAGTAGGAACCGTATGTATATTCTTCTGTAGTACTTTAATTTTCATAAGATATTCACATTTCTGAAGGTGAACAAAAGATTAAAAACAGACTTCTCAATTCTAGTTTCTGTATGATTCTTCATGATTCTGAGCAAGTCCAGTCACCTGAGCTCTACAGGTTCTAGGTGAATAGATAACAGCAATCCTAATTCTACATGGATGTAGGATGGTAAACAAGAGCCAGTGTACAAGAAGAAGCTTCATAAATGGAAAAATATAAAATTGTGAGGTATGACTCACAAAGAATAGGCTCCTAGTAAAATAAATCTTATTACAGTAATTATTTGAAACAAATATAAATTGTTCTCCCCAGTTTTTCTTTTCCATTCTCAGTTGTTTTAATTTCATCCAAGTTAAATATTAACTTTCTTTTAAAGGGTCGTTGGTAAATCATGGCCTACAGGCTAAATCTAGCCTGTAGCTAGTTTCTGTATGGCCTTTGGGATAGAAATGTTTTTACATTTTATGTGGTTAGAAAATTAAAACAAAATTTTGTGACATATAAAACTATATGAAATTCAGAATTTAACTGGGTATACTGACACATGCCTGTAACCTAGTTATGTGTTGTAGATGATGGGAGTATCATGCCTGGAGGCCAGTGAGAGCAAAAAGATTAGTGAAACTGTATTTCAAAACAAGCTACACTAATACCTGTAATCCTAGCAATGTAGTAAGTAGAAGTAGAAGGGTCTTAAGTTTAACACTAGCCTGGGACAAAAAGCTCCAGAAAAAAACCTAAAAGCATAAAGGGCTAGAAGAGTGGCTCAAGTAGTGAAATGCTAGCCTTGCCAGTGTGAAGGCCTGAATGCAAACGCCATTACCACCAAATAATGCACAAAGTAAGGGAAGGACAAAAGGTAGATGATAGCTCTGGCCATTATTCTGCTGAGCACTCTAGGTACCCTCCCTTTTCCCCCTACTTACTTCATTCCTTTCCATCTTCATCCTTTTTTTTTTTTTTTTTTGTCGGTTGTGGGGCTTGAACTCTGGGCCTGGGCACTGTCCCTCAGCTCTTTAGCGCAAGGTGAGTGCTCTTGAGCCACAGTGCCACTTCCCGTTTTATAGTGGTTTATTGGAGATCAGAGTCCCATGAACTTTTATGCCTGGGCTGGCTTTGAACTGGGATCCTAAGATCTCAGCCTCCTAAGTAGCTAGGATTACAGGTGTGAGCCACCAGCACCTGGCCAGGATATCCTTAAACTCCTAGACTCAAGGGATCCTCTAGCCTCAGCTTCTAAAGGGTTGGGACTTTAGGCCCAAAACACTATACTCAAAACTTTTTCTTTCTTACCAAGATCAGTCACAGTGCAAAAAGAAATAAGTCACAATGTTCTAGTTGCAAATAAAAATCATGTGTAATACTATTTCTCCAGTAATGTAAACATACAAAAAATCACATTTTATCACATAGTGTAACTGCCAATACTTTATATTCTTCAATAATAAATATTCAAAATTTAATGGGTATTTTACACTTAGGACACATTCCAGACTATGTACATGTCACATACTCCACAGGCACATGTGCTTAATAGGTACTAAACTGGATAATCAAGGTCCACAGTGTGATAGCTTTTAAAATACAACAAAATGTGTTCTCTTTTCTGATCACTGCTCTGTTCTAGTTGTCTGTTTTCTTCCTTTTGTACCTTCACTCCCACTTCTTTTTTTTTCTTCTTTGAAAGCAATTTTTTCATTTTCTATTTTGCTTTGGCTACACTGTTGTTTTGTAGTAAGATGCAGACTATCAATATGACTTTTGCTTTTGCAGACCACACGTGTGTGCATGTTTGTTCATGTGGGCACACATTCTGATATTGAGGCTTGAACTCAAGGCCTGGATCAAGGTTGGTCCTGTATTGCTTGTGTGTGTGTGTGTGTGTGTGTGTGTGATCTTGAGGCTTGAACTCAAGGCCTGGATCAAGGTTGGTCCTCTATTGCTGTGTGTGTGTGTGTGTGTGTGTGTGTGTGTGTGTGTGTGTGTGTGTGTGTGTGTGTGTGTGTGTGTGTGTGTGTGTGTGTGTGTGTGTGTGTGTGTGTGTGTGTGATCTTCAGGCTTGAACTCAAGGCCTGGCTCAAGGTTGGTCCTCTACTGCTTGAGTCACATAGCTCCACTTTTGGCTTTTTGATAGCTGGAGATAAAACTCACATACTTTTCTGCGTGGGCCGGCTTTGAACTGCAATCTTCAGATCTCAGCCTCCTAGGATTAGGATTGCAAGTATGTGCCACCCATGCCCTGCTTGCTCATACTTTGTTTGTGCTTACTTCAACATAGACTCATACTTCTTTTTTTAGATTGAGCAGACATGAGCTTCCAGGATGCAGATGGAAAGTAAAAAAGCCAAAACAATTTGAGGTAAATGGCAAAGCCAGATTTGAACATTATTTTGTTTCCTTATCCAGAACTTTTTGTTTCTAGTCAGACTCACTGCTCTTTGAAGTATAACAGCTGCTTTATACTCTCTAAGAGATGGCCTCTGTTGGCGAAAATTCTTCCTTTCTCTGTATCCTCTCCAATGTTTCTGGATAATAATTGCTGACTTCTCTTCAAGTTCCTTATTGAACTTCTCCACTTGACCTGAAAACATGACATATATTACAACATGTTTACTGTTATGTCTTCTCAAGTTCTAAAATCAGGACTATGATTTTGCAGTCCATTTTTCAATATTAGTTATTAATTTTATAATAGTTCTAAGAGTTAGAAACTAAGTCTCCCAGACTATGTAATCACCACTGCTGCTGCTTCCTTTATTATTTTTTTGTTCCTATACTGAGATTTGAAATCAGTGCTAGGCAAGCACTCTATAATCTAGATCATACCCTTATTCCTTTTTGCTTTAGTTTTGTTTTTCAGGTAGTGTCTTAGTATCTTGTACTTTTTCCTGAGCTGGTTTTGGACCCTGATACTTCTGCCTCCTTAATACCCTGGATCATAGGCATGTATCAAAACACTTAGCCTGTTTTTGGATATAGGGTCCAATTAACTTTTAGTCTGGGCTAGACTACAATTTTATTTCTGTGCTCCTTCTCCACCAAGTAGCTGGACTACAGGTGTGAGTCACCATGCTTGGCTCCCCATGAAGCTTCTTTAGAGAAAAGACTTGAGTTAAAAAGAAGTAACTTTTTTCCAATTCAGACTTGATAGTTGATGATGAGCAATGTCTCCATTTTCTTTCCTTTCAGATAAATATAAACTTCAAGATAGCTCTCAGAGACACAAAGATACTCTTTGAAAGGAGTTAGAATATCACTGCTACATACCATCATCAAAGCTTTAATAAAGTTTATCCGAGCTGGGTGCCAGTGGCTCAAGCTTGTAATTCTAGCTAAAACTGAGGACTGCAGTTCAAAGCCAGTCTCAACAGACAAATCTGAGAGACTCACATCTCTAATTAACAAGCAAGAAGCTAGAAGTGGAGGTGTGACTCAAGTGGTAGAATGCCTTGAGCAAAAAAGCCAAGAGTTGGGCTGGGAAGGTGGCTCAGTGGTAGAGCGCTTGCCTTGCATGCATGAGGCCCTGGGTTCGATTCCTCAGCACCACATAAGCAAAAAGAAAAAAGCCAGAAGTGGTGCTGTGGCTCAAGTGGTAGAGTGCTAGCCTTGAGCTGAAGAGCTGAGGGACAGTGCCCAGGCCCAGAGTTCAGGCCCCACGACTGGACCAAAAAAAAAAAAGCCAAGAGTTAACACAAGAGTTAGTTCAAGCCCTAATACTGGCAAAAAGGAAGAAAAAATGGTTTATTTGAGAGAGAGAGAGAGAGAGAGAGACAGAGAGACAGAGAGACAGGAGACAGACAGAGAGCGAGAGAGAAAGAACTGCACAATAGTTCACATTTTTTAGAAGAAATTATCAGGTAGGTCAAGACGTTTATTTAGTAAAAGATACTCAGCATTACAATATAAACTTTACAATAACTTTATGATATAAATTTGTAAAGTTTATATTGTCACTCACCTGGATGAACTATTTCAAGCATATTCAGTCGTAATTCTCGGGAAAGTCTCATAGCTCTCTGTCTTTGAAGCTTTGATCTTAATTTGAGGTCTTCTTCTTCCTTCTGCCTATTCACTTTTAATAACATCTTTGCTCGTTTAGATCTGTGATGGAAACAGTAAGTGTCTTAAAAACAATTTCATAAATCATATGTTCATCTAAGGAATGGATGAAATGGTTGATTATATAAGTATTCAAACAAATATAGACAAAAAGGTTTTAAAGGCATGAGGAAACATTGTCATGTGCATTTGTTTTGTACTTTCCAGGAGAAATATCTGGATATAAGCATCAAATGTCCCAACAAATGTCTGAAATATACATCAAAGGGCTTAAAAATGTTGGCTATTTTCCATTTCTAATAATTTTATGGAAATAACCAAGTATATAAACATTTGTGTTCAAGGATGTTGGTAATAATAGTATTACAATAGTAATAAGTTGAAAAAAAGCTATGTCTCATAATAGAGAGTTAGATAAATACTGGTTTATTTATCTGATAAAATTCTATGATATATGAAAAAATAAAAATTTCAAACAATAGTGTCACATAATACGTTAGGTGAAAATAAAATTAAAATATAGAAGAATGAAATGTAAATTATGTTCAAAAATTTATATTAGCCAAGGATAGTGATACATTCCACAACTTATGCTATAAATGAGCCCAGAAACAAGCAAACAAAAAAAAGTGTTTGCTTATAGAGAAAAACAAATGATTTGAAAACATTAAAATTTCAATAATGATTTTGCAGCATGGTGTGATTATACTTGCTTTTTATCTTCTTTTTAGGCTGGCCTGTTTTACAATTATTTAATCTGATTATAAAAATTTCTAAGTGGGGTGCCGGTGGCACACGCCTGTAATCCTAGCTACTCAGGAGACTGAGATCTGAGGATCTCAATTCAAAGCCAGCCCAGGCAGGAAAGTCTGTGAAACTCTTATCTCCAATAAACTACCAGAAAACCAGAAGTGGCGCTGTGGCTCAAGCCTTGAGCTGAAGGGCTGAGGGACAGTGCCCAGGCCCAGAGTTTAAGCCCCATGACAAACAACAACAACAACAAAATTCCATGTGTTCACAGATACTTTATCATCTCTATATAATCTGCTTTTATTCAGCAGATTTCTCCATAGCCATTCCAACCAAGTTACTGTTGCTTCCTATATCTTTATATAAGAAGACTATGCCACAAGTCCAAATCTATAGTAAATATACTCAAAATACTTTCAGATATTCACAGGAAAAAAAAAACAAGATCAAAGGAAGAAATGGGAAGTAGAATACATTATTTTATTCTATAGAATGAATTTGAAAATCTTTAGAATAATGTTCTCTTCGCAGCACCATCCAAAAAAAAAAAGTTCAAATTCAAGGACAACTTGGTCTATAGGAGATCCTGTCTCCACACAACCAAGGGTATGTTGTCTTTTAGATCTTTTTCCTAGACTTAAACTGACAACAACTGTAGTACCTGGCTTGATGGTATTAACAGACAGGCTTCATGGATGCTATAGTTAAAGAGGGATTTATTTTAAAATGCTATAACAAGGTTAGTCATTTTAATGAAAATGGTAACTTTCAAAAGAACAGAGAATGAAGTTTTTACAAATATGGTTTTCTCTGTATAATTTTCTTTTGCAAATTACAATGGAAGTTTTCTCTGATTTTCTACTTAGGACAAAACTAAAGGTTTATTTGTTTAGATATTTTTTCTTATCTCTCTGATCAAGGGTAGAAAAGTCCTCAAGTGTGTGTATATGTATATGTGTATGTATATGTGTGTATGTATACATGTGCACCATGTATGCCAAAAAAAAGAGCTCTACAGAGGCTACATGAAGAATTTCTCTAAATACCTATTGTTCTTCCAGAAAGTTAGAGATGAAGTAGGTAAGGGCCTCCAAATGACAGCTGATATAGATTTGCCTCTCCTAAAGAACTAAAAAAAATTTTAATGGATTTTTTTTTATTGTGAAGAACTAAAAATTTTGAGTTGTATAAGCAATGTAGATTATGGTGTTTTTGTCTTTTACCCACTTATGGAAGATAAAAGAGAGCAGGCTTTAATCAGAGTATCCTTTCTAATTTACTTAAAAACTCTACCTGTTTCAAACTTCTAATTGGTTATATATTATAATGTCTAATATTGCATTATCAATACTTCAGATGTATTATTAGTATAATAAACATGGTAATCATTAAAAGAATATTTCCAGAACATTTATCTTTCAGAAATGTTATTTTAAACCCCACAGCTATTTTTAAATGCTTTAACCTGAGAAATACGACAGTAGTTATTAAAAGCATGGTTTCAGTTTTCTTGAACAAGTTACTTCTCTACTATCCTGTTTCATTTTAGAGAACTAAAACTTGGCTCTATGAGAAATCACCTTTTAGAGCTTTTTAAAATCATAAATGCTAAGTATTATTGTTGTGTGTAACTTCTAAAAATATGGATGTGTTAGTCATTTCCTAAAGTGAGTGATATATCTTAAGTATTACATTCTACTTGAAACAGAGATAAATGACAAATTGTGTTTTATCTCAAGGGCCATATCCATTTATGCCATATTCAGGAAAATTGGATCAACACATTTAATTTTCATATATTCATAGGTGCTTCTGTCATAATTATATATAAGAACACTTCTGAAAACTAATGATTTTGAGAGTTTAATAATATGAACTGGCTCCCACAAACAAATTTGAAGTGAATATGACTGTGTATTTGAACAATTCATAATCCTGTCTTCTAGCATGTCTTTTTCTTTGAAAGTACATCTAGTTACTGGCTTGTTGGCACTCATTAGCATATTAAGCATAATTAAAACAGAAATAGAGGTAAAGTATTAGGAAAATGAAAAGAAAAAGTTAGGTTTTCACTTACCTTTACTCTAGTTAGACTCTCAGATAATCATTTCTATCACAAATTTTTTAAAAATTTTACCTGAAACTCCTCTGCAAAGCAACCACAGCAGATGGAAGCTTCTTTAATCTTTTTCTAGTCTGGAAACCCTTCCAATAAGCTTGAATCAAACAAGCTGCTTGATGTAACTTCTGAAATTACATGTCAGAAATAATTTAGAGACATCTCTAGAAAATATCAGGGCAACGCAAATAATCTGTCTCTCTCTGTCTCTCTGTCTCCATGTCTCTGTCTCTGTCTCTCTCTTTCTTCTCTATTGGCAGTACTGAAGATTAAATGCATGGTTTCACCCTTGCTATGCTGGTATTCTACCATTTGATCTCAATCTAGCCCTTTTTGTGGTGTTATTTTCAAGGTAGATCTTGCTTTATGCCTGGCTGGCCTGTGCTGCAATCCTTCTATATTTGCTTCCTCTTATCAATAGGGAATGAGACACATCACTGCAGAGTCATTAGTCAAGATGGGAATCTCTTTAGGCTTAGGCTGTTAATGAACCAAGATCCCCTAATCTCTGCCTCCATGGAGTAGGCAGAATTACAGGCTTGAGCCATTTTGATCTTATTTCCCATATTTAACATGATATGTAGGAGACAACATTAAATTTATAGGCTCAAAGATGGGAAAAGTTTAAGAATTTTACACCTCATCTCCCAAAGAGGGGAAGTAAGGGTGTCAGGAAATATCTAGAACATATAGTCTACTTAGTTCTAAATTCTCTCTGTGGAATCTCACTTCCTTCTCAAAGACTTAGTACTACTGCCTAGTTTCATAATCATTTTTGAGTTAACTTACTGTAAACTTGTTAATGTATTATTGACCTTGGATCACTGTTCAAAACTGTCTGTAAGATTCTAGTATACTGTGTATAATCCAAGACTTGTGAAAGATCCTCCTGTCTAAATGGACTTCTTTTTATCTAAGAGACTAACCTTTTAACCTTTTTTCTTTTCTATCCTTTTCTTTTTTCTTTCTTTTTTTTTTTTTGTGTTGAACTCATAACCTTATACTCTTAACTTGGCTCTAGCTGGCACTCAAACACTTGAACTACCCTTCCACTTCTTGCTTTTTTTCCCAGTTAATTGGAGATATGAGTCTCTTGAATTTATCTGCCCCAGCTGGCCTAAAACTTGAGTTGCTAGGATTATAAGTTTATGCCACCAGTACCAAGCTTTCATTACCTTTTTTGGACTTAGGGTTTTTAGATATATATATTCATTTCCTTTTAATCAAAACATCTTGTATTTTAGATCTGCTTTCCATACTTATTTTAACTCCTCACCTGGAAATCAGAATCATTCTATTGGAATGAGCTGTGAACCACTGTAACAGTTTCTTTTATAGAGGTGAAATGCATTATAGCTATACATCAACAAAGCTAGCCATAGTTGGCCATAAATAAAGTTTGCTATGACTAGAGGGGTTTTTTTTGTTTTGTTTTTTTATAGAAAACTCTGTAAAAAGCACCAGAAGCTCATCCTTGCTAATTAGGAGGCTGAGATCTGAGAATCACGGTTCAAAGCCAGATCAGGCAGACAAAACTGTGAGACTTTATCTCCAATTAACCAGAAAAAAGCCTTGAGTGCAGGCATGGCTCAAGTTGTAGTAAACTAGCCTTGAACAAAAAAGCAAAGCAAGAGCACAAGGCCCTGAGTTAAAATCCCAGTATTGGCCATGCACACATGCAAGCACGTGTGTGTGCACATGCATGCGTGCACACACACACACACACACACACGCACGCACGCACGCACACACGCACACACACACACACACACACACCTAAGACAAAAGTTTAATATAGCTAAAAGAAGATAAATATTAGAAGATTTCTTGGGAGGGTGAAAAAATTCATGTGGTATCTATAAACAGGTACAAAAGGGAAACTGAAATTATGTTTATGGATAGATTGAATGGAAAAGAGAAAAATCTGAAGGTATTTTATTTTCTTGGAAAACAATTTTTCTTCTTTCTTCTTTTCTTTTTTGTCTGTCATGGGGCTTGAACTCCGGGCCTGGGTTCTGTCCTTGAGCTGAAGAGTGGTAGAGCTAGTGCTCCACCACTTTGAGCCACAGTACCATTTCTGGTTTTCTGATGGTTAATTGGAGATAAGAGTTTCATGGACTTTCTTGCCAAGGCTCTGAACTATGATCCTCAGATCTCAGCCTCCTGAGTAGCTAGGATTACAAGTGTGAGCCACCAGCACCCGGCCTGCAAAACATTTTGCTTAAAGTTTTGAGAGAAACAAAGAAGCATATTTAAGATTCAAGACAGTCAAGAAATACAACCAAATTATTTTTAAAATTTAATACCTGCTCTTCTGTTTCCTGATAGACTTTAGGACTTAAAAGACCAACGAGCTCTCTAAGTTCTTGACTAAATTCTGTCCCACTTTCCTGTTTATTTAATAGATTTCTGAATTCTGAAATAGAGTAACAAAATGTACAACAATTACCAACAGAATATGATTTTTGTTAGCTAATCAGCAATTTTGAAGATAAAAAAGTCTGGCTCGAAATTGAAAATTCATTTGGAAATGAATACAATAACCTTAATCATATGGTTTTCTGTTTTCTTTTTTTTCCATTTTATGTTTTCTTTTCTTTGAGACAAGGTTCCACTACCTACGCTAGATTGGCCTTGAATGAAGGATCTTCTGCACAAAACACTTGGTATCACATGATATTTCTGTTTTCTTAAAGACTGAAAGATTAAATTCTCTATCCTTAAAATTCGTACATGCTCACTTGTGAAATCTGATACAAAGAGATGTCTAAACGACATCTTTCATAAAAAAGCAGTTAACTAAAATATCTTAAAGAACCTGGATATGTTCTAATATTAAAATATACCAATCAAGCCAGGCAACAGTGGCTCACGTCTATAATCCTAGCTATTCAGGAGGCTGAGATCTGAGGATCGAGGTTCAAAGCCAGCCCGGGCAGGAAAGTCCCTGAGATTCTTATCTCCAATAAAAACCACTAGAAAACCAGAAGTGGCGCTGTGGCTCAAGCGGTAGAGCACTCACCTTGAGCTCAAGAGCACAGGGACAGCGCCCAATCCCAGAGTTCAAGCCCCACGACCGACAAAAAAATAAAATAAAATAAAATAAAATACCAAAGAAAGGGTAAAGGATTAAGGTAAAACTGCAGGGCTGAAAATATTTATCTGGCACAACTAGAGTACAATTATTTTCTCTCTCTACTTCTAATACATAAAATTAAAATGTCCACAAATAATTGTGTAAGTTACTAAAATGCCTCCTAATCATCAAGTATGACTAAAGACTATTCTAATATTTAGGTATTAAATGCATGCATCATATATAATTAATCTTATATTAAATATATTTACTGAGATAGAAACTTATTTGTTGACTACAATGAATATAAATATATTACTATATGGCTTTGGTCGGTAGGATAAAATTAGCATAACTTTGATAGTTGTATAAAATATACTGATTTCAGCAAATGATCTATTTTTACATGTCTCTAATTCCTGTATCTATAAATGAAGAGTATCCTCTATCTATAAATGAAGAGGATATTCTTCATTTGAAGATACTCTTCATTTATAGAGTATCCTCTTCATTTATAGATACAGGAAGTATATATTCTGTATACTTGTGAAGTATACAGAATAGTGTATTATATTAGTAAATGTTCTCTTATATAAAAGCCATTATACAAAATGGAAATTTCAAACTTTTTATCCATATGTGGTTGACTTTGAAGGTAAGGAGATTTGTTTTTTTTTTTTTACCAGTGAAGGAATTAAAGAGTAACTTATTAACATATAAAAATCAAAAATGTTATCAATCTCTCAAGCTGTTCTATTCTTTTTCAACTAAAGCTAGTCTTCATAAGGCCACTGAACACTTTGGTCATCATTTTACCACACTATATGGCATATCTAACATATAGATTCTTGTCAGATGGGAAGCAAGTATTTATCACAATTCTATCAACAAAATATATGTGCTATCTTTTGAAATGTGAAAATGTCTTGCTTATACAAAGACTTTATTAGGAACAGTAACTGTGTAGTAGGGTTTTTACTGGCTCAGTTCTGTTACTAATTTTTCAAAATACAAGAATTTATATTTTTATAAACCATCAAATATTTTCTTTTTGAGAATCCCAAGAAAAGTTATGTCCTACCTTTGTGGCAAGAACTTAATCGCAGTAAAATCAAAATTTCCTGATGGGATTCAGCCATCAACAGTAGGAGTTTTGTAGCAGAACTTCTTATGACTGGACTGGGAGTTGATAAAAGCTTGAAAATAAGCTCATCTAAAATGGAATGCAGTGTTTTTCCTCCTATTTTGAGTAAGTCGCCACTGTAGAAGAAAATTTAAAAAGTGCAATCAATGTGTGCATAGTTATCATAATAAACTGATAAAAGATTCAGTAATTTGATGTCTGTGTGTAGCCTAATTGAAGAGGAAAACCACTTTTTAAAAACACACATTAAGGGGTTGAAGATTTAGCTCAGTAGAAGAGCATTTGCCTAGCAAGTGCAAGGCCCTGAGTTTGTTCTGCAGCTCTGAAAAATCAAAACAACAAAAACAAAACTAACAACAATAATAACAAATCCCCACACATTAAGTCAATTCTTATTGTGCCATGAAAGGGTCACCAGAAAATGCAATGCAGCCAAGTTCTCTCCTCAAAGAAACTTGCTATCAAATTGAGTAGTAAAGAAAATCTGTAATATATTAAATGTCAGTGTGATTCAAAGCTTTAAAGCAACAATAAGAACAAAGCCACAATGCAGGGCAAATTGCTAAATGAAATACAGAGACTAAATTTATCCTTCCCCTAGTATTTTTTAAATTAATAACTTGATGTTGTATTTCTCATGTCATGACAAATTATATAAATCTTAGAAAAACTTAAAAGGAGAAACTGAATGACTTTACTAATTCACCTAATGAATATGTGATAGTGGTGTATCTCTGTGCTTGACTATTACTAGTAAGATATTTTAAGTTTCACAGTAGAAAGAGCAGATTGCCAATCATTCTTTTGGGGGGGGGGGGTCCAGTCGTCGTGGAGCTTGAACTCTAGGCCTGGGTGCTGTCCCTCAGCTCTTCAGCTCAAGGCTATCACTCTACCACTTGAGCCACAGTGCCACTTCTGGCTTTTTTTTCCTGCTTATGTGGTGCTGAGGAATCGAACCTAGGGCCTCATGCATGCAAGGCAAGCGCTCTACCACTGAGCCACCTTCCCAGCCCCGCCAATCATTCTTGCTTGAGAGTAATGCAAATTGTCTCATTCTTATAAATGATTTTGGTTGAATAGAAAATGTAATTCTAATAGCTACTATCTATGACTTTATAAGACAGTGGTTTTTAATTTCTTAATAGAAAAAATTACTAATGTAAATTCTTTACAATATATTCTACATTCCTTTGACAAATCAACTCTGTAAGTCTCTCTTAATTCTTCTTTGATTTTATACAAATATCTTACAAATTTACTCACTAACTAGCTGAATAAAATTTTCAGTCAGTTAAATTTTATATTACTATTAATCATGGTTTTAGCTTTTTGAAAATTATACTTTAGCAGAGGCCAACATATTTCTAAGGAAAAAAGAGACTGTACCCTAGTCTACATAGAAAAATGCCAGTGTTGAGAAACTTTAAAGGTTATTCAATCAAATGACACAGGAATCTTGGTAACACCTGTTTCTGCCCTTCTTGGCTTTTATCTATTCTCTTTGCCAGGGATACTCACTTTTTTTCTTCCGTACTTTATCATTACACCATTCAAATACCAGGTCAAAATAAGCTCATTTCAAAAAGCCCCCATAGTCGGCTTGCTGGTGGCTCACACCTGTAATCCTAGCTCCTCAGGAGGCTGAAATCTGATCATTGTGGCTCAGAGCCAACCAGTCCATAAGACACTTATCTCCAATTAATCACCTAGAAGTGGTGTTGTGGCTCAAAGTCATAGAGTTCAAGCCCCACAATTCACACACACACACACACACACACACACACACACACACACACACACACACACACACACACCTACATAGATAAAGCTATTCCAATCTGATTACTTAACTCTATATTCCATACAGAGTTTATGCTATATGGCAATACATTAGTTGAAATGCTTTTAAACACTCTAACTTCCTAATCACTACTATTTTCTGCTTCTCCTCTAATCCAAACTTCCCTGTCTCTACTTTCTCACCTCCCACTCATTTCTCATATGACTACATCTGGCATTCTTCCTCCATACTTCACTGTCAAAGTACACTTAAAAAGTGTACTTCATCAATACATTTTCCCAAATATCAAATCACACGCACGCATGTACATACCTCACTAAATACTTATTTGCCTAGAACTATTTGTACCTAATATTCTACCGACCTAACTTCTGTGATACTTTGTTCTTTTCGTTTCTCATTCTTTACCCCTACATTTTTTACTATTCTTTCTCAGATTCCTTCATTGGCTCCCATCCCCCAAATGTACCTTAAAGTTTATTTCCCAGTATTCAGTTTTCAACCTACTTATTTTATCAATCTATTTATATTTCTCATTTAGCTCATCTCTAGAGAAAGGCTAGATAATATGACAGGTAAATTTCTAGCTTGCTAATAAATGGCCAAACTATTTTCCACTAATTTACTACTTTACATTCCATAAGCAATGAGTAACAGATCAACTTCTTTTGCAAGTTTTGCAACACTTGGGTTAGTGGTTATATTTTACCTATGTTATGGGTTAGTGTGTAGTGGTGTTTTCTTATTGATTAATGTTGCTAAACATCTTTTCATGTGCTTGTACTTCATATATCTTCTTTAATGAAAGGTATGTTTTCCCCATTTCCAATCATTTGTTATAAATTTTGAGAGTTCTTTATATACCCTATAGTATTTAATAAGTGAAGAACATACTTTAAGAATTTTAATCATCTTTGTTTCTCATACTAGAGTTTAAAGTCAGAGCCTTGTGCTTGCTCAGATTGTTAACTGATGTTCTACCAAATGAACCTCACATCCAGTTCATGGTTTGCTGATTATTTTGAAGATGGGGTTTTTAGGACTTTCCTGCCTTGGCTGGTTTGAAACTTGACCCTATGAATCTCAGCCTTGAGTAGTTATGATCACAGCTATGGCCAGGCACCCAGCTGTGAAGTCTAACTTAAATCATTTTTTTTTGTAGGTTTTATTTGACAGCATTAATGTTTGAATTTAGGATCCTGTACTTGCTATTATTTTGTGAATTTAATTTTGGGTGATATACCTAAAGGTTTAGGGAACTTTTGCTTCTAATTTCCTACAAGCTTTGTATTGTAGGTTTTATATTCTTGGGTTGCTTTTAGGAGGGGCAGGGGAGACAAGATATCTAACTCTTTAGTCTATGATGCTCTAGAACTCACTATATAGATAGTATAGGCTGGCTTTGAACTCATTATTTTCTTGTCTCATCATCCTGAATATTAGAATTACAGATATAGTATCTTCATACCCCACTTATAGTTTAGGTTTTATATGTAGGTCTTTGTATATTGATTATTGATAGCCAATTTTTGCCATCATCTTTTTTTTTTTTTTTTTTGGTGCAGTGAGGGGGGCTTGAACTCTGGGCCTACGTGCTGTCTCTGAGCTTTTTTGCTCAAGGATAATGCTCTAATCTTGAGCCACAGCACTACATCCAGCTTTTTGCTGTCATTTGGAGATAAGAATCTCAGGGACTTTCTTGCCCACTGTGGCTTTGAACTGTATCCTCAGATCTCAGCCTACTGAGTAGCTAGGCTTATAAGTATGAACCATCAACACTCAGCTTTTTATTTTTTAGCATTTTAAAAGTCTGTCCCATCCTTACGGAATGACCTTCACACTTTTCTTAAAAATCTATTTTCCATATATGTGTGAGATTATTTCTCTTTTCTATCTTACTGCATTCTTTGTACCAACATTATGTTATTTGGGGGAGGGGCTAGAGTCCGGTCATGGGGCCTGAACTCTGGGCCTGGGCGCTGTCCCTCAGCTCTTCAGCTCAAGGCTAGCGCTCTACCACTTGAGCCACAGCACCACTTCCAGCTTTTTTCTTTTTGCTTATGTGGTGCTGAGGAATTGAACCCAGGGCCTCATGCATGCAAGGCAAGCGCTCTACCACTGAGCCACCTTGCCAGCCAACATTATGTTATTTTAATTACTGTACTTTTATAAAGAAGTTTTAAAATCAGATACAGTTCTCATAATTCTTTGTTTTCAGTATCAGACTATTTCAAAGCCTTGATTTTTGTGTTTGGGATTGTGATTTAAGGTCAGGCAATATGGTGTATCTTTTCATTTATTTATACATTCTTTAATTCTTTGTCCTTTGTTCATTCTCTTTTCTTTATGGCCTTCTTTTGGATTGTGCTTTTATTTTTTTGGGGTTGGTTGTGGGGCTTGAACTCAGGGCTTGGGTTTTGTCCCTGAGCCTCTTCGTGAGCCACAGCTCCACTTTCAGTTCTTGAGTGGTTAATTGGAAATCAGAGTCTCATGGGGACTTTTTTGCCTGGGCTGGTTTTGAACCATGATCTTCAGATCTCAGCCCCCTGAGTAGCTAGGATTACAGGCATGAGCCACCAGCCCTTGGTTGGGATTATGCATTTTAAATAATTCATTTTTATTGTTTTTACATCACTAGTTTTACCACTTTGGTTATGATGTACCTTCATATTTATTGTTTTGGAGGTTAGGATGAGCCTTTTGAATGAGCCTTTTGAACAAATACAGTTTTTATCAATTGTGGAAAAATTTTAGTCATTATTTCTTTAGTATGTTTTTCTGACCCTACTACTTCTTTTAAATTGTCTTGATTATACGTATGCAATACTGCTTAGTGTAATCCCATAGCACATTAATAGACTTTGTTTCCCTCTTATTTTTTCTTTTCATTTTGTATAGTTGCTATTGATTTGTCATAAAATTCACTAATCTGTAATGTTAATTTGTTGCTAATACCATCCAGTATAGTAATAGTTTTCACCTATAGAGTTTAGTTAGGGTCTTTTGTCATATAGATCGCTATTATTTTGTAATTCTATAAAACATTTATAATAACTATCCTAATAATCTCATTTATGAATACCTGCTTTGTACTTGTTTGCATGTAAAATAATGTGAATTCTAACTCATTTAAGCTGATCAAAGATTTTTTTTTTTTTTTTTTGTCGGTCGTGAGGCTTGAACTCTGGGCCTGGGCGCTGTCCTTCAGCTCTTCAGCTCAAGGCGAGCGCTCTACCACTTGAGCTACAGCGCCACTTCCAGTTTTCTGATGGTTTATTGGAGATAGGAGTCTCACGGTCTCTCCTGCCCGGGCTGGCTTTGAACCACGATCCTCAGATCTCAGCCTCCTGAGTAGCTAGGATTACAGGCGTGAGCCACCAGCGCCCGGCCTGATCAAAGATTTTTAAAAAAAATTGATACTTCTTGTGAAAAATCAAATCACCCATTGAACTATAGTATGCTTTATTCTACCGGTATATCATCAGTTTGCAGCAGCTGTAAGAAATGGTCACTTTGCAATATTAGAAAAGTGATTAAATATTTTATGTGGCACAAATGAGCTTTTCTCATCCTTTTAGAGCCAAATCAAAGCATAACCCTTTTTGCTGAATTCCTTGTATTTGTATATTGTACAATGAAAAAAAAATACTTAAAACTGTAAGTATCTGTAGAAACTCTACACAATTTGACCCTTTTAGGCCATGCTTTGATGATTGATCTGGATGGTCTTGAATTGCTATGGTTGCTTTAACTGCATTAAAAAAAAAGACAAGAGGAAAGACAAGGAAGGAAGGAAGGAAGGAAGGAAGGAAGGAAGGAAGGAAGGAAGGGAAGGAGAGAGGGAGGGAGGGAGGGAGGGAGGGAAGGAGGAAGGAAGGTAGGGAGGGAGGGAGGGAAGAAAGGAAGAAGGAAAGGAGGGAAGGAGGGAAGAAAGGAAAACAGGGAAGAAAAGAAAGGAAAGAAAAAATAAAGAAGTTGTATCCTATACTAGGAATCCATATCAAGCATGCTAGACAAGTGCTACAACATTTAAGTAATCGTCAAACTCTGATTGCTTTCTTTGTGTAGTACAAATGCCTTCTTTGCTCCATAGTTACTAGAATAATAAAAATAGGAACAGTCTATTTTCACCTGCTTAAAAAATCTGTGATCACCACTGTCTATCATACTATGAAATTTTTTTTAACTTAATTGTTTTTAATTTTTTTACTATCCTTCAGTAGTTGTATGAGGGGTTTCAATTCCATGTCAGTTTGGGAATAAAATGCATCTTGATCAATATTACCTATTCTTACATACAGACCACTTTTTCATGATTTCTCTGCAGAACTTCCTAGCTACCTGTGATACAAAAATTTAAATCTTAGCAACAATGAATTGTGTCTAGTTTTCACTCTCAACATCAAGTTTTTAATCTCTCTGCTTTTGTCTTTGTTATCTCTGACTTGCTGCTTTCTCCTCTTTTCCTGGTCAATTTCTCATCCTTAAAGTTTCATCTTAGATATTACTTTCTCTAGGAAACATCCTCCTTCAGTTTGGCTTTGAAGCACCTGAGCACACTTAACACTGCAACCCAACACACCATAATATACTTATATGTTTCTTTCCCTCTACTGTTAGTTCTTTGAAGATCAGATTTACATTTGAATCAACTTGTAGATAAGATGATGTAGTTCTTGTTGTACACATAGTAGTTACTTAATAAATCCATACAAAAGTAAAAGAATGAATTATTCAATATATTCTGCCTTTATTTTATAACCTGAAGGATATTACCTCTTTTATATTTCTAGCATTTATCACAATGCTGAACATGTTTGCTAAATAAATATGTGAGTCAGCTATTTTATTGTTTTTTACTGTCATCTGTGTGTGTGTGTGTGTGTGTGTGTGTGTGTGTGTGTGTGTGTGTGTGTGTGTGTGGTATTTTTGTGTGGGTGCATGCCAGTACTAGGTGCTGTCCCTGAGCTATTTTGTTCAAGGCTGGTGCTCTACCACTTGAGCCATAGCCAAAAGCTTCTGGCTTTTTTGTTTTTGATGTTTCATTGGAGATACTAAGTCACATGGACTTTCCTGCTCAGGCTGGCTTTTGAACTGTGATTCTCAGATCTCAGCCTCCTGAGTAGCTAGGAACCTGATTCACTATTTTTTTTAAAGATTTCATACTAATTTCCCTTTTCTTGGCTCAAGATTTAGTCTACAGTCTTCTTTCTGCATACCAATTTGATAATAAATCTCCCATCTTCTACAGTATTTTATATTAACTTTTTCTGAAACAGTCATAACAGTAAGTATCATGGACAAGTCACTTGCAAATTATTTGAACTGGAAAAAAATTGGTAAATTTTTGATCAGAATAAAAAAGCAGTACCATTTTCTAAAACTAAGTCACCTGTTAATCTGTAGTATATTCTGTAGTAGACTCATGACTGTAGATCCTATTTGAATACTGTCAGTTTGCATTAAGTGTAAGAAATGATCACTTTGCAGCACTAAAAGAAGAATTAAAAAAGAATAATTAAAGCAAACATTCTATAATAACAAAGGTGAGATTTTACCTTTCTTTGGCAGTTCTGGGATTTGAACTCAGGGTCTTGAACTTCTCAGTTTGCTTGCTTGGCCAGAGCTCTACCACCTGAGTCATGACACCATCCCTGCTTTTTGCTAGTTACTTTGGAGACAAAAATCTCATGTACTTTCATGTCTTTGAACCAAGATTCTCCAAATTTCAGCTTCTTGAGTCGCTAAGACTTTCAGGTGTAAGCTACCACAGAGTAGATTCTATTCTTTTAAAACCAAATTTAAAAAATGATCATTTCTGCTAAACCTCCTGGCTATTTCCTAAAATAAAGAATTTAAGAAGTAGGTAGCTTTAAGTAGCCATATAAAATAGTTAATCCATTTTTATGAACAGGTGTAGTCAAGGGACTATCTATAAATATTAAACTATGAATTTATTATTATTTTTCTTTAAACTGAAGTACCATGTCCCAAATCCAATTCTGTTTTCTAGAAAAAAAATTTGCTTAAGAAATATTGTACTAATGATAAAAAACATTGTTTATTGGTTTATAGTTCTCTGGCCTCAAGTAACCAGTTACAAAACTTGTTTTTAGATGCTTCAATAATATCTAATAATCTAGTAACATTTAAGAACTTCCATTTTGTCATCTGTAAAACCAAAAATTAATACCTTTCACACAGGCATAATATTCTAGATTTAAGTAAGTAAGTCAATAAGCACAAGAGTAAAGTAAGTAATATCAGATATGCTGGCAAGATGGTTCTATACACTCTACCCAAGCTTCTATAAAACGACTACTCTTTTCCCCATTCTATCTTCTGTTAGAACATCTTTCCCATACCAACTCCTGTTCTTTATTTCTGTTTACATAGTCCATATTTCACAACACCTCTTTTTTCAAATGTTTTTACAAATTAGAAAAAATCTATTTTGTTGGCTTATATGTATTATTTTAATACTTTTTAAAGTTCTATAACTAGAATAAGTACATTTTCTTTTTTTCCTCTATTACTTTTTTATTTGGTGTTGGTACAGGTGTTCAAACTCAGGTTCTTATGCTCTTGCTGGGTGAGATTTTTAGCTCAAGGCTGGCACTCTACCACTTGGGCCACACCACCACTTCCATCTTTTTCCTGGTTAATTGGAAGTAAGAGTCTCACACATTTGCCTGGCTGGGCTGACTTTGAACTGCACTCCTCAGATCTTGATTCCTAAGTATCTAGAATTCCAAGCATGAACCACTGGCACCTGGGTCATTTTCTACTTTTGTCTACTTAAAAATGTTTATTAATAACTCTAGAATTAACCTGAATTCATCAAAATAGCATGAGATGTAGTATGTACCTAAGTTTTTTTCCTCTCTCGGAAGAATTTATGTAAAATTAATTTATTGTATGTCATTGTTTTATTTTTATACTGTTTGCCTTGATAATTATAGAACTTATGTTTGCAGTCTCTATTCTGTTTTTCAAGTAAGTCCTATAAATAGTAAATCCTACCTTACTCCTACACTCCTCCAAACAAAAACTTTATGCCCACTTATTTCCTTCTTTAACTATTTTTAATAATAAAAACAGAACAGTATGATGAATCAGTTGCTCAGTCTTAACAATGATCAATTTATAGACAAAATATATTTTGTTTATATCCCCATGTATTTCCATTTTATGGACCAAATCTAAAACATCAAATTTATCCCATAAATATATCAATATATATTGCCATATTTATAAATTGCTAAATAATAGAATATAACCATTATTTCACATAGCAAAAATCATCTCTTAATTTCATCAAATAGCAAGCCAAGTGTTCTAACTTATAGTTGTTTTGTGAAATTTTAAGTGTCAATAAAGATTTAAATATAATCCACACAATATGACCCCCTTTCAAATTTCTTTCCAATTTTAGTTATTTTTCTGTTTTCTTTCCCTTGCAATTTTTCTGTTGAATAAATTGTGTTATTTGTCCTGAGTTTTATACAGTCTGTTTTTGTTAGTTATATGTGTTAGATGACTTTCTCTAAATTGGTAGTTGGAACTAGAGGATTAAAATGATTCAAATTTTTTGGCCCATACATTTCACCTGTGATGGTACTCAATGTCTTCCCATCTCTCTTTTGAGATGCTGACAACCATGACTGATCAATTATTTGTGTGTGTGTGTGTGTTTGTGTTGTCAGTCATGGGGCTTGAACTCTCAGCCTCAGCACTGTCCCTAAGCTCTTCAGCTTAAGGTGAGCACTGTACCCCTTGAGCCACAGCCCCACTTGCAGTTTTCTGGTGATTAATTGGAGATAAATTTCACAGTTTCCTGCCTGAGCTGGCTTTAAACTGCGATCCTCAGATCTCAGCCTCCTGAATAGCTAGGATTATAGGCGTGAGCCAGCCCACGACTGGTCAATTCTTAAACCAGTTAATTGACAAGAGGTAAAGAGCTCTGCCCTTTATTAGTTTGAAGGTTTTTACATAGAGAAACTTTTCTTCTGTATTCAGGTAAATGCAGGATAAACACTGGCTTCTTCATTTAAAGTTAACAAAATGAGTAATTTTCCTGACTCCAGTGTTGATACTTGGTATGTTTTAGTCCATTGCAATTATTAACCTTATTACTGTACAAATTTCCTATATTTGACTAGTAGAAGCCCCCTTATGTTGGCTCCTGAGTACTTTTCCAGAATTATAGCAATTTGCTTCCTTTAAATCTGCCATTTAAGACACTTCTGGTTCATTTGTATACTTTTTCTTTTTGGTTGCCAGTACTGCGGCTTGAACTGAACTCTTGCTTGGCTTTCTCACTCAAGACTAGGACTCTACCACATGAGCCACACCTCCACTTCTGTCTTTTTGCTGGCTTACTGGAGATAAAAGATTTGTCTGCCTGGGCTGGCTTCAAGCCAGGATCTTCAGATCTCAGCCTTTTGGGAAGCTAGTATTGCAAGTATGAGCCCACCAGTGACTAGCACACTTGTATACTTTCTATCCCAGGCCTACAGTAAGCCATTTATTCAAGGAGGTGATTCCCTTTAGAAGAAAAAGGTTGTTGGAATCTTGCTTTCAAAGTGCTCATTTATTTTTTGCTGATAAATTTTATAATCATTTAATCGAGGTTTAGTATTTATGTATGCTTTAAACCTATAAATTAACTCTTATTATATTTTAGTTTTTTTTTTTTGGCGGGGGGAGGGGGGGTCCGGTCATGGGCCTGAACTCTGGGCCTGGATGCTGTCCCTTAGCTCTTCAGCTCAAGGCAAGCACTCTACCACTGAGCCACCTTCCCAGCCTTGTTTTAGTTCTTATCAAAATGGGATTTGGTATATTTTGAATCCACAATCTTTACTACTTTACATTTTTGGTTAAATACTTCTTTAAATTAGGAATTTATAACAGTATGTTTTAAATGAGAACTTAATAATGTTTTAAAGATAAAGTTTTTGGCATGTCACCCAGCAATATGGTTATAACTTCCCAAAGAATTACTTACACTAATTAAAAATAGTTGCCTTTGGAAAATGAGAAATGGAATGAATGGGCTTGAGGGACAAGGATTATATTTTTCTTAATAATACTTATATTTTACTCTCTAAGTGCATGCATTGTTCTAAAGGAAAAATACAGAATTAAATTTTCAGCTCAGGTATTATTACCTGAAGAAATTATAGTGTTGCATTTATGTGAGATAAAATTTTTAAGTAGGTAGGAATTGTGTATAATTATGAATAAGATCACTTTATTAGTCTGAAAAAAAACCATATACTTACATTTATCAAGTTGAAAAGAGATATCTAATAAAAATAACCCTAAAGTTCAGTATACATCATTACAGAAAAGCTCTTACTTGGTTAGGCTACAAGTATAACATTTACTCTGTATATAGTGACTTCTTTCACAATTTATCTGAAACACAAGTTATAATCTTTGAAACAAGTTATTTTTCCTAACCTGTTCAAATTATCAATACTTATCTCAGATTTACTAAACAGAAAACTCTAGGAAGAAAGTTTTATTTTAGTAATAGTTCATATAAGGTTCATATTGTCAATGCAAATTAAAGATGGAATATCCAAGTCAATTTTTTAATTGTGAAGTTATTTTAACATAGCTTCACTTCACTGTGATTATCTGTATAATTTATAAGGCATTCATTTTTAGAAAAAAATCTGTTAGCAGCAAACTCTTAAAATCATTCCAGTTACATTAAAACCTTTTTTCTTACCATTCTGTATGAGTTGAACATGGCCTCCCAATAGCCAAAAGAGAGAATCAGTCACAATTTGGAAAAAATGCAGTAGTTCACCTTTTTCTTCACCCTTAACACAAAAGAAATTCAATTTACTCTTTTGTAATTTGCTGTTTTTTAAAAAAAGAATTGCTCTGGGAAGCCAAAGGCTCATGTTCTTGATATAACAGCTATTTAGGAGATAGTACTTGATCTTACAATGTTTAGTTCCTTATTCTAGAAGATTATGGTTGCAGTATATTTATTAATACTCTCTCCCTAATATATTTGTTTGTTAATCAGATAAAAACAAAGAAAGATACATAAAAACTTTAAGTTAATACTCTAGGATTTCTCACCACTATCTGTCCTTCAGAATCACTTGTATAGCTTTTTAAATATACCTATACACAGGCATCAGTGCAAATATACAAAAGAAAATGCCAGATATCGGTATTTTCATGAAGTTATGCAGTCAAGGTTGCAATATGCAAACACAGATGTCAGTCAGTATGTAAGGCCCTGTTAATAGAGCTTTCAATTCATTTCTACTCAATGACTTTATGAAGGCAGAAACCATAACAACTGTGTCTCCATAATAACTATATCTACAACAAATTTTCAATCAATATTCATTCAATAAATAAATGATTTTTTCTGTTTTTTTTTCCTTGTAGAAATTAAAGTGAGGAATTAGTGTTGCCAAGGGAAAGTAAGCACAGAGTACACTGACAACTTATTTTGTCATTTGCTGCCATGTAACTTTTGGAAATTTATATATAGATGACCATTAAAATTATCTATATTCGAAGTATTACTACTGCAGCATGGTAACGTAAAGATTCATGAATCATGCGATTTTTTTTTACAATAATGTAAGTATTTTCTTCCTATTAATCTCCCAAAGTTAGACAGGTACTTATGAAAACAGGTATGTGCTATTAACTTAAATATAATCAATATTCTCCCCTGAAAAACACCTAAACACCTAAACAAAAAATGCCACATTAGAAAAAGAATTCTTAGTCTGGTAAACTGCATTTGTTACTTTCATTCAAAGGCACTTTAGAAATGGCATGTTAATCTTAATCACTGTTAATCTTAAAATCTATATTTTGAGACTTTCTACTTCCTTATAAAGCCCTTCAAAAAGTATCACCCATAAATTCAGAGCTTCTGACAAAGTTAACAAAATTTATCCTCAAATCATTTCAACACTCTTGCATGTTGGTAGTACAGCCAGAAAATGAAATCAAGTTCAACACAATTTCTCATAGTTCATGTAGTTCAACTGGCCCAAATTAAATTTTACAAATATGCAAGTATTTATTTAGAGCTAGTGCCTCTTAAAGGCTAGTGGAAATGCCAGAGAACTGAGTTACAATTCTCTGCCACTGATATTGCTTATTCTCAAGTCATCATGTTTCCTTACTTTTGTATTGTTTTCCACTTAGTTCCACTCTTAAAAAAATTTTATTTAGTATTGTTGTAAACTAAAAATAGAACCCTCTTAGATTTTTCTACAAGAAATAACTAGGATCTTAACCTACTGTATTAGTCTGGGAATTCTTTTTTTAAAATTTTTACTTTTTTTATTGTGAAAATACTGTACAGAGGGGTTACAATTACATGGGCAAGATAATGAGTACATTTCTTATCAAGCATTGTAGCATCCTCCTTTGTTTCCCCTTCCCATCCCTTCCCATCCTCCCCCCATACCACCCCCACCCAATCCTCCCTGCTACCCTCCACCCCCAGTCTGGGAATTCTTTAAGCACAAATCAGTATAAATTCTTCATTTAAATCAGAGCTCCTAAAGTGGTACATTATATAACATGGTGGCAACTCTGAATCATTTGTGTCTTTATAGAAAAAATATTAAAAATTATAAAAATATAAAAAGCAATTGCTTAAAAGTCTAGAGTACAAACAAAAGCACACAGACATGATCCCAAAAGGTCATGTTAATTAAGTAATCCAGAAAGACAAATACTAAATGACCTATTCACATGTCTAATCTTAAAAAATCTGATCTCATAGAAGCTGACAGAATAGTGATTACCAGAGGCTAGAGAATAGGGGGATAAAAAAGATGGGAGAAACTTGATCAACAGATACTTTGGGTGTTCTATGGTAACAATAGGATTATTATAGATAATGATAATGTAGCTGGAAGAAAGAATTTTAAGAACTTGTTTAGATGTTTTAGTAGTGGAATGCAACTACTTGTATATCCTTGAATGAAGAACAGTCCTCCATATTTATAGCTTTGGGAGTGACACACATGGTGTGGTAAGGGAGGAAGTGAACACGACAAGTCAGCCCTGGTCATCACTGGGGTGACAGATGTCACAGCCAGTGTGCCTGTATATCCAAAGAAAGGATTTTAAAATTTTCACCACAAACAAATGAGAAATACATACAGTAGAGTCTGTAAAAAAGATGGATATGACAACTGAAGAAACAATTTTTTAAAAGGCAAACAAATCATATATGAAAAAATATCTACTACCATAGAATTATTAGGTGCAAATGAACCTGAAGACAGACTAATAGAAATTACTCAAACTGAAGTAAATAAGAACAAGAACAAGATGAATAGAATCTCAAAAACTTGTGAGGCCCAAATGGAGAAGAAAGAGAACAGGGAAAATTATTTGAAGAAATAGTGGCTCCAAATTTTCTTTTTTTTTGTCCCTCATGGGGCTTGAACTCATTGCCTAGGCGCTGTACCTGAGCATTTTTGCTTAAAGCTAGTGCTCTATCACTTTGAGAAACAGTGCCATTTCCAGTTTTCTGATAGTTAAATGGATATAAGAGTCTCATGGAACTTTCCTTTCTGGGCTGACTTTGAACTATGATCCTCAGATCTCAGCCACTCAAATAGCGAGGATTACAAGTGTAAGCCACTGGTGCCCAGTTCCAAATTTTCTTAATATGAAAATATTTATTAATTCAGATATAGGAAGCTCAGCATACCACATGCAATATAAATATAATAAAATGTACACCAAGATTCATCCAAGAAAAACTGCTGAAAAAACAAAGAAAATGAAATCATTTTTAGGTAGTCAAAGATTTTTTGGTTTTTTAGTCAGTTGTGAGGCCTATACTCTGGGCCTGGGCACTGTCCTCAGCTCTTCAGCTCAAGGAGAGTGCTCTACCACTTGAGCCACAGTGCCACTTCCAGCTTTTTCTGCTTATGTGGTACTGAGGAATCGAGGGCCTCATGCATGCAAGGCAAGCACTCTACCATTGAGCCACCTGCCACCTTCTCAGCCCCCAAAGATTTTTTTTAAAGTAGAATATACAGAGAGGAATGACAATAAAGATGAAAGCTGAATTTCCATAAGAAACAATAGGTAACAAAGTGAGTTTAAGACCAGCCTAAAATTCATAGTAAGACCCTGTCTCAAAAAAAAAAATTAAAATGATTTGGCTATAAAACCTAAATAAGCACAGACCTTAGTTGCATTGATAAAACATGTTTGCAACTGTCTTCCCAAAACTAGAAAAATTTCTGCAGCTGATGGAAGTAATTCCTTGTAGAATTCTTCTGCATCTTCTCCTGGTTCTAAGCCCACACAGCAATGGCTGAAATAAGAACACAAATTTAAGTTAATCATACATGAATGCCCAAAATTCTATTGATACTGAGCCTTACTCAGAATCTTCAGTATTGTTTTGTTGACAAGCCAATTAAAAAGCTTCTTGGAAAATTAGGCTAACAATTTTTAGAAAAGTAAACTGTGGTGTGGATCTGGTTTTGTATTTAGTTCTAGTTTAGTTCTAAAAGCCAACATGTCAGCTCTTCAGGAAATGATTTGGCTCATAGTAAGGAGAAATGTATTAAGTTTTCAATGAACTAGCTACAATCACTCTAATGTCATAAAATATACTGACTACATTTCTGTTAACTGACACATGCTAGACACCTAGTAACTGAAAAATACCTAACGTAAGATTGATCTTCTAGAAAAAGATATGGAACCAAAAACGCTAACTATATATCATTTCTACTGTCCAATAGATCTATATTCTTGACATCTGCAAATTCAAATTACTGGGCACAGGTAGTCGAGCATGTAATTCCAGATATTTTGGAAGGTATATGGGTAATCATAGTTTGAGGTCATTCTGTGTACAAAGTTCAAGAGACTCCAGCCAAACTAACAGCTGAGCACCATGAAGTGTGGCAGTTTGCTGAGCCACATGGAAAGCACAAAAGCTGGATGCAGTGTGTCATCTTCAGTGACACAGACAATCAGAAGTAGGAAGATCCCAGTTCAGGCCGGCCTGGGCCTAAACCAAGCTTCTACCTTGAAGAACATTAAAAAACAAAAAGATATGAAAATTTTTTGCCTGTATCTTCAGTAAGAAAAGAGCAAAAGCCTAACCATAGTAGGCATACTTATAATATAAAGAAAAGATCATTTAAGTAAACAAGTTTCAATAATAAAAAGTATTCATCTAATATACTAATACCAAAAATACTAATACTAAAGAGCCTCCAATCCAATAATAGATTGCAGTCTGATAAGTAATTACTAGTACTTGATTTTTTTTAAAAAGTGTTCATTGCAACAATGAGATGTACAAGTCGTTATGTGGAAAACGAACTTTACAACTTTGGTGGGGGGGGGGAGGAGGATTGGGGGGACGGGTGGGGGGAGGAAGGGATGGGAAGGGGAAACAAAGGAGGAGGCTACAGTGCTTGATAAGAAATGTACTCATTATCTTGCCCATGTAATTGTAACCCTCTGTACAGTATTTTCACAATAAAAAATTAAAAAAACAAAAAAAGTGTGCAGATACTGATGAACAACTGATAACTAATATTTATTGGGCATGCTAAAAGCCTACCTGGCTAAAGCTCACATATATTAATTTTTTGGGGGGGGAGGGGGTCTGGTCATGGGGCCTGAACTCTGGGCCTGGGCGCTGTCCCTCAGCTCTTCAGCTCAAGGCTAGCGCTCTACCACTTGAGACACAGCTCCACTTCTAGCTTTTCTGCTTATGTGATGCTGAGGAATCAAACCCAGGGCCTCATGCATGCAAGGCAAGCACTGTACCACTGAGCCACCTTCCCAGCCCCACATATATTAATTTTTATTTTATCTTTGATTCCTAAAATTAAAGACTATTTTGATACCACAAATGGAATTATGCTCAATCAATATTGTCATTAACGTACCTAATTAGAACAAAAAGGACTTCTTTATGTAAGAAAACCATTAATCTTAAAAACTAAAGTATAAAGTATATTGATATAATTTTCAGACTGTTCTTTATAACTATGTATTTGAATTTGGCCTTTATCTAGAAATCTAGCTGAGTAAGCAGATTAAAAAGTTAGCATCCCTGTAGTAGAGAAACTTCATTACAATCAAAAGGCTAGTTGAAAGCTATAGGTCATCTGCAGGTTCATTTCTGGGTCTTCAGTTCTATTCCAATCAACCTCAGGCCTATTCTTATGCCAGTACCAAGCTGTTTTTATTATAGCTTTGTAATAGAGTTTGAAGTTTAATATTGATTTTCCTCCAGCACTGTTTATCTGCTAGGATTGCTTTTGCTATCTGGGGTCTTTTATTATTCCTTATGAATTTTTGGATTGCTTCCTCTATTTTATTAAAGAATGATGGGTATTGCATTAAATTTGTAGATAACCTTTGGTAGTATTGTCATTTTCATGAGGTTAATCTTCCCAATCCAGGAGCATGGGAGGTTTTACCACTTCCTGAGTTCTGCTTTAATTCTCTTTTTCAGGTTTTTAAATTTTTCATCATAGGAGTCTTTCACCTCTTTGGTTAATTTTATTTTGGGGGACTATTACAAAGGAGTTGCTTTCCTGATTTCAGCCTTGATCTTTTCATTATTGGCATACAGAAAAGCCACTGATTTGGTGGGGGTGGTAATTTTACACCCTGCTATTTTGCCAAAATTTTGGATCAGCTTGAGTAACTTGAGAGTGGAGTCTATGGGGTTCTTTAAATACAGGATCATGTTATCTGCAAAGAGGAAGAGTTTTACTTCATCTTTCCCTATTTGGATCCCCTTTATGTTTGCATCTTGTCTTATTGCTCTAGCTAGGCATTCTAATACTATATTGAAGAGGAGTGGAGAAAGCAGACATCCTTGTCTCATTTCTGAATTTAGAGGAAATGGCTTTAGCTTTTTGCCATTAAGTATAATGCTAGCTGTAGGTTTGTCATACACAGCATTTATTATATTGAGCAATGTTCTATGGATTCCTTGTTGCTCCAGAGCTTTCATCATAAAGAGGTGTTGGATCTGTGGCCACCAAATCTTGGATAAGGGAGCCAAAAAACAGGATGGAAGAAAAGACAGCCTCTTCAACAAATGGTGCTGGAAAAATTGGTTAAACACCTATAGAAAACTAAAGTTAAAAATCCTTCTATATCACCCTGCAACAGAATCAATTCCAAATGAATCAAAGACCTCAAGGTAAAAGCAAAACATTACAGGAAGGAATAGGAGGAAAACCAGGGCTCCTTGGCACAGGTCAAAATTTTCTTAATAAAGACCCAGAAACACAAAAAATTAAAGAAAGGTTGGAAAAATGGGATTGCATTAAACTGCAGAGCTTCTGCATGGCAAGGGACATAGCTAGCAAGATAAACAAAAAGCCTACAGATTGGGATAAGATCTTCTCTGCCATATAACATATGTAAAATATTCTACTCTTAGAACTCAAAAATTCTCCCTCAGGCTGGGAAGGTGGCTCAGTGGTAGAGTGCTTGCCTTGCATACATGAGGCCTTGGGTTTGATTCCTCAGCACCACATAACCAGAAAAAGCTGGAAGTGGTGCTGTGCTAGCCTCGAGCTGAAGAGCTGAGGGACAGTGCCCAGGCCCAAAGTTCAGACCCCATGACCGAAAAAAAAATCCCCAAAAACAAATCCTCAAAGAAACAACCACCCCATTAATAAATGGGCTAAAAACTTAAGAGATTTCTCTGAAGAGGAAATAAAAATGACCAACAGACACATGAAGAAATGTTCAACTTCTCTGGCCATAAAAGAAATGCAAATCAAAATAACATTGAGATTCCACTCACTCCAGTTAGAATGGCCATTGTCAAGAAATCTAATAACAACAGATGCTGGTGGGGATATAGCCAAGAGGGAATGTTACTACACTGTTGATGGGAGTGTAAGTTTGTTCACACTAGAAAGCAGTGTGGAGGTTCCTCAAAAGCTAAACACAAAGCTCCCCTATGACTCAGAAATCCCACTTCTGGACATTTGTCTAATAGACCACAAACAAGGCCACTCTAAAGCTACCAGCACAACTATGTTTATTGCAGCTTTATCATACCCAAGATATGGAATTAACCCAGATGCCCCTCAGTAGATGAATGGATCAAGAAAATGTGGTGTATATACACAATGCAATTCTATGCTTCCATCAGAAAGAATGACATTGCCCCATTCGTAAGGAAATGGAAAGACTTGGAAAAAAATATAGTAAGTGAAATAAGCTAGACCTAAAGAAACATAGGTCCTGGGGCTGGGAAGGTGGCTGAGTGGTAGAGCGCTTGCCTTGCATGCGTGAGGCCCTGGGTTCGACTCCTCAGCACCACATAAGAAAAAAAGCAAAAAGCTGGAAGTGGCGCTGTGGCTCAAGTGGTAGAGGGCTAGCCTTGAGCTGAAGAACTGAAGAACAGTGCCCAGGCCCAGAGTTCAGGCCCCATGAGCGGAACCCCCCCTCCAAAAAAAAGAAACATAGGTCCTATGGTTTCCCTCATTTGTAATAATTAGTATATGTCTAGGATAGTCCTCGCAGATGAGCAGAATAGCTCAATAGCTATGTTCATATGACCATAGAAGATGATGTTAAGCGAAATGAACTCAAAGACATGTTGTTATGTTGTTAATGTAGTATGTGATTTCTTTTGTGTTTTTTTCCCCCTATGGTTTCTCTCCTGTTGTCACTGTATTTGCTTTTGGTACCCTGCCTATTGTATATATATTTATCTGAATTAGGGGAGGGAAGGGGAACAACAAACTGGTGAGACCAAGGGTGAACCAATGCAACAGTGATACTCACAAGACAATATGCTTGAAATGAACTGTACAACTTGTGGGGGGGGGCAGATTAAGGGTAGGGAAAGAGAGAGAAAAATGAGGGAGGGGTAACAAGTTTGACAACAAATGTACTCACTACCTTATGTATGTAACTAACTCCTCTGTACATGACCTTGACAATAAAATTAAATTAAAAAAATCTAAAATAGAAATAAAGTTAATAAATGCACAGTTAGTTACTTTAGCTTGAAGTGGCTCAGCACTGAAAATATTTATTTTGTTGCCTCCTCTTAAAAACTATTTTCACCTTAAAAATTTTTTAACATGGTACATTTTCTAATTTGGGGAGGGGAAGGGAAATAACAAAATGCTGAAATAAGGATACAGGTTGACTCACTGTAGCAATGAGATGTACAAGACACTATGTTGAAAACAAACTTTACAACTTCGGGGGCAGGGGGAGGAAGGAGTTGGGGAAGTGGAGAGAGAAGGGATGGTAGGGGAAAAACCAAGGAGGGGATAACAATGCTCAACAGGAAATGTATTCATTATATTACTCATATAACTGTAACCCCTCTGTACAGTATCTTTACAATAAAAATATATATTTCATTAAAAAATACACACTAATTAAAAAGAGAAAAAAATTAAACATGGGAGCAAATATGTTTCTGACTTTTATTGATATGGGTTGACCTAATAAGTGAATACTAAGTAAAACAGTTTCTCTTATCTGTATCTATTCTTCTACAGTACTTTGCTTACATTCTGGCACCTGTTTCATAGAGCTTGTGTTACACATTTACATAACTGCCACCCAATATCTATTCTAAGATTATGAAATACAGAATTAGTACCTTACTTTTTTTCATTTCTTCAAATATTGTTTGAGTCAAAAAACAACATTGAATCCCATGGATTCAATGGAGAGAAAGATAAAGGATAAGCATGGAATGAAATTTTAGATTATCACCCCTGGCTTAAAAACAATAACAAACAGTATAAAAGAAAAGTATGACTAAAACCTATCATAAAAGTTACAACTCATGTTAAGAGGATGAATAAAAATGAATCAATTGTTGAAATGGAGAACCAAATATAAAAGTCCTGAAGAAAAAGCTTCAGTATTGCTTCATTTTACCTTAATATCTGTGTCAGTTGGGAAATTGTAGTCCATCCACCCTGGATTCGAGAACAATCTTGACTAAGAACCAAGAGGCAATACTGAACAAGGTCATAACAATATATGTCTTGTTTAACTTTCTTCAACTCTGAGCTTCCTAAAGGTGTGTTTATTATTTCTAAAAAAAATAGATATATTTAGTTATGCTCAACACATGAAAAGCTACTTACATTTTTATACATAGAATAATAATGAAAAATGTATCAAGATAGAAAAAAATCCCTGCTGTATTAGCATTAAGATTTTTTCTTAAACATATTATAAAAACTGCTAAAATTGTATCCAAAATGTAACTATTTTTTAAATTAAAGTCTTACCCAAATCACAAAATTATTTTATTACCTTTTAACTTCAACAGTATAACAGGGACATTCTGTTCAGGACTTTTTGCAACTTCAGCAGCTAAAGATAAGATCCTTGGGTCTGTACCTGTTGGCTTCATTTCTTATCACCTATAGTTTAGGTGATAAGAATCAGAAATAAAAGGTTAAATGGCACTAAAATATTAATTTCTTGAATGGTGTTTGATATATAAGGTCAAAATAAATGAAAATTTAAGCTTTAGCTGTCTTGTTTGAGAAGTATGAGTGTTTTTTTTTCAATTTTTCTTATAGGAAATGTTTTCCTAAATTGTAACTCATGTGGCAGTTACAAGAGATATTGTACGCTAACTTTTTTAATTTGCTTGCTTCAATTTACACAAGTTTAAGAGGGAAGTCATAGAGAAAAACCTGAGTGAGAAGAAGGAGAAGAGCTGATGTGGCAGACCAAAGACTGCCATCCTTTCAGAGGTCTATGTACAAAGCTGGCCCTTGGCTAGCATCTAGAATGTGAATTTAAGGCGCTTTTCATTTTCTATATGAAGAGTTTGTTCCCATTTATAAAAAACAATGTGGTTTATGATGAATACCTGCTTTCCTTTCAGAGCCTGAGAATACTAGTTTATGTAGCAGAGGGTGTCTGTATGACTTTTATTAGTCTAATTTCCATTACTATAATGAAATATCTGAGGCTGAGTATTACATAAAGAAAAGAAGCTTATTTAGCTCTTAGGTCTAGAAGTTCATAGCTACGAATAAGACTATACAAATCTGGAGTTCTGTGATCCCTATTAACTAATCAATGAATCTGGGAATGGTCTTGGGAATTTCCAACACACCAAGCCTCAAAAATGGTATCTAGTATATTTAAAAAAACAAAATTATTTATAAGTAGTATAGTCAATAACGTGAATTCTCCTGACATTTTAAAAGTCCAAATCTCAATTAAATTTGTTGATAAAACTTTTATGTTTTGCTGGGCACTGGTAGCTCATGCCTGTAATCCTAGCTACTCAGGAGGTTAAGATCTGAGGATCACAGTTCAAAGCCAGCCCAGGCAGGAAAGTCCGTGAGACTCTTATCTCCAATAAACCAGTAGAAAACCAGAAGTGGCGCTGTGGCTCAAGAGGTAGAGCGCTCGCGCCTTGAGCTGAAGAGCGCAAGGATAGCTCCCAAACCCACAGTTCAAGTCCCATGACCAACCAAAAACAAAAAAAAACTTTTACGTTTTGACCAGACAGTAGCTCTTAAATGTAATCCCAGCTAACCAGGAGGAAGAGATCAAGAGATTATGACTTCAAGCCAAGCCATAAGAAAAGTTAGCAAGGCCTCATCCCAACAAATAAAGCGGGCAGTGGGAACACTTGCCTGTAATCCTCCTACATAGGAGGCATAGGTAGGAAGACTATAAGAGGTCAGCCCTAGACAAAAGAGACTACCTGAAAAAGAAAAGAAAAAAAAAACTAAAATAGTAAAGGAGTAAAAAAGTGTGGCTCAACTAGGAGAGAACCTGCTTATTAGCAAGCCTGATGCCCTGAGTTGAAGCCCTAAGCAACACACACACACAAAAAGAAGAAGTAGCGCTGTGGCTCAAGTGGTAGAGCGCTAGCCTTGAGCTCAAGAGCTGAGGGACAGCGCTCAGGCCCAGAGTTCAAGCCCCACGACCGACAAAAAAAAAAAAAAAAAGGGCTGGGAAGGTGGCTCAGTGGTAGAGCGCTTGCCTTGCATGCATGAGGCCCTGGGTTTGATTCCTCAGCAAAAAAGAAAAAAGAAAAAAGCTGGAAGTGGCGCTGTGGCTCAAGTGGTAGAGTGCTTGCCTTGATCTGAAGAGCTGAGGGACAGCGCCCAGGCCCAGAGTTCAGGCCCCACAATCGGACCCAAAAAAAAGAAGAAGAAAATGATGAAAAAATTGAGGCCTGGCATGGTAGCTCACACTTGTAATCCTACCTATACAGAAGCTGAGAATGAAAACATCACAGCTCAAGGCCAGTCCTGGCAAAAATTTAGTGAGATGCCCATCTCAGAAAACAAGCCTGTGTGGTACAAGTTATGGCGGGAGGCCAGAGATAGTTGGGCTGTAGTCCAGGGTAACCAAGCAAGACCAGAAGATTCAATCTAAAAAATACTGGGCTTAATGGTATGGCTCAAATGGTACAGTACCTGTCTAGTAAGTGAAAGACCCTGAGTTCAAATATCAGCTGCCTAAAACAAAACAACCCTCTAAACGCTGAAGACCTGAAGGCATGCCTCAAGCGGCAGAGGAGGCACAAAGTTCTGTATTAAAAACCCATTACCACACACACAAAAAGAAATGTTTTAAATGGAAACTCAAAAGTCAGGCATGGTGGTGCACATCTAATTCTAACACTAAGAATTGTGAGTTTGAGGCAAGCCTGGGCTACACAGGACTTGAGTCAGCCTGGGAAAATTAGTATGACTTTATCTCAAAAAAGAAAAGAAAAGAAAAACATTGACTCAATTTAATGTATCTAATTAGAAAGTATCTTTCTTTACTTTTAATTAATAGAAATTAACATACAAGTACTTACAATATCTATACTATGAGTTAAATTCTAAGTGTTTTTAAATGTGTTATCCTATTTAATCTCCACAATGGGATGAAAAAGCAGTACCTATAATCACCTCCATTTTTTCTTTCTTTTTTTTTTTTTTTGGCTGGTCTTGGGGCTTGAACTCAGGGCATGGGCTCTGTCCCAAAGCCTCTTTGTGCTCAAGGCTAGTGCTCTAGCATGTGAGCCACAGCACCACTTCAGCTTTTTCTGAATAGTTTACTGGAGATAAGAGTCTCATGGACTTTCCTGCCCAGGATGGCTTCAAATCATGATGCTAAGATCTCAGCCTGAGTAGCTAGGGTTAGAGGCGTAAGCCACCAGTGCTCAGGTAATCATCTGCATTTTGCAGTAAGAAAAACTTGAATAAGTTATAAAACTTGTAATGACTCCATCAGTCATTACATCTATCAAATCAGATCAGGCTGACTATAAAGTCAATGATGTTAATTAAAATGTTTTTATACTTCTTCCCATATAAAACAGTAAACACATAAAACATATTTCCCCAACAGCCTACTTCTAACTTTAACTTATTCTTCATAACTATAGTAATATTTTATGTTGAAGAATTAGCTATATACAAAAATCATACCTTATTAGGTGATATATAAGTCATTAAAAGACAAGTTCACTGAAGATATTTTGAGGAAAACCCAGTAAAACTACCATATATTAGGCATAAAACTTTCTAAGAATATATAATGATTTTAGTCTTTCCAAAGGCTGCATTACACTATGCATCTTTTGTAAGAGAGCTTCAAAATATATTTAAGCTTCCCATTTACTGGAGATCATTCAATTTGTATGTAATTATATGCAATGATGCAATGAGCATCAATGTACAAAGTCATTATTAGCTCAAGGGAGTATTCCTGTAGGATAAATTATACTAGCTGAATCACAAGGTACACATATTTCAAATTTTGATTAGATTAGAGCTCTAATTTATACTTTTATTAGATTAGAGCTCTAATTTATATTGCCACTAATAATGTTTTAGAATGTTCAATTTACTATCCACTGACTTATACACGTTACTTTTTTCATGTTACTTTTTTTTTTTGTCAGTTGTGAGGTCTGAACTCTGGGCCTAGACACTGTCCTTCAGCTCTTCAGCTCAAGGCTAGTGCTCTACCACTTGAGACACAGCACCACTTCTGGCTTTTTCTGCCTATGTAGTGCTGAGTTATCAAACCCAGGGCCTCACGCATGCAAGGCAAACACTCTACCACTGAGCCACCTCTCCAGCCTCACATGTTAATTTTAAAATTTTGCCAACTTATAAGATGAATAACGGTAGCTTTGTTTTAATTTGCATTTCTTTAATCAGTCAGGTTGGGCAAATTTCATTTTCACTAGTTCTTGGTGTGTGGGTCTTCATGCCTGTATTGGAGTTTGAACTCAGAGTCTTGTGCTGTTTAATATATCTCTTGATCATTAATTTGTGTGTGTGTGTGTGTGTGCACTAGAATTTGAGCTCAGGGAGTTGAACTTTGTGCTTGCAAAGCAGGTGTTCTACATCTTGAGCCATGCCCCAAGTTCCCATGACCGTTTTTTAATCTTGATGCTCATTGATTGGGAACATGACTCAAGTAGAGCCGTTGCCTAGAAAGCCGAGACCCTAAGTTCAGACCCCAATATCACAAAAAATGAGATAGTAACTAGTAATAACATTAATCATTCGGAGAGCTCTGTGTGCTATGAATTATTCTAATTTCATGTATAAACTCCTAATTGCTTCCACAACTCTAAGGGGTAGTTATTATTTTCCCCTATATGTAATTTTGAATAGTTTGACTGTTTGCAGAGTTATATTTAAGTAGGAAGCAGGATCCAGAGATCCTGGTGGCAGGACTTTTGACCCCCGGCTACTACTATGAAAGAGTGTCAACGACTAATAAAAATAGGATACTTTAAAAGGATAAAAGTTAGACAAACAGGTTGAGGGAGAAAAAAATAAACAGAAAAGCGGACAACTTTGTCTAGAGTTGAGCTGTAAGTTAAAACCCTATAGTCTGATTACATTACCTTAAAAAAAAAACCTATCATCTGTTATACCAACAATTTGTTGAGTGCTTCTCTTTTAATACAGTATTTCTTCCATCTTTACAATAAATTCATTAACAGGAACAAGGACGGAAAAGAGGACAATCACTAGTCAAGGTATTAACGCTGTTACCCCGTGGCCAGCTCCAAGGCCTCAGCCTTAGCCTCGATCGTTTGGGTATCACTTCTCCTGGCAGTGCCCTTCCTTTACTTCCTCCACGAAGCACTAGGCTGAAGAAAAAGAAAGAAAGAAACCCAATGCAACGCAGTTACAACGGACCCACTGGCTCACGCGTCGAATCCACCTTTCCCCTCCCTCTGCCAGTCCAATACCACTAGCGATTGGCTTTAGGATCTATTAAGCAAAGATCAACCGGAAAGACATTGTCCGGGTAACGGCGGCGCTGCCCCAATCCCAGCGCCGAGGCTCCGAGCTCGGAGGCCTCGAGGCCGCGGGCTCCAGACCCGGTTTGGGCGCTACCAGGCCTTGGGCAAGTCACTTAGGCCTAGTTCCCGACACCTCCACTCCGATTTCCACAGAGCTTGGCGCAGGCCGATTCACTGGTGAAGAGGTTCTACACGGCCCGTTTCAGTTGATCCCGGGCGTCCTCGCCCGGGCCTCCGCCTCAGGCCTATTCCCTCAGCCTCCCTTCGCCTTTGCACCAGAGATTTCCCCCCACGGCACTCCCGCCGCGCACCTGAGCGTGACGGCCTCTGCGGAGCGTGCGCGTCGCGACGCGCGCGGGAAGGGGGCCCTTGGGGCGGGGGCGGAGGCGGAGCCGGGAGCCTCAGCGCCAAGGAGGCGGAGCGTCATCCGCCCGGCAGCCAATCAGGATACTAGAGGAGGGGGGGAAGGATCGTGCGTGTAGGGCGTGGGGCGGAGTCTGTGGCAGGCTCCGGGGACCTGCGTTACAAGTGCAGCTGCTTCAGGCTGAGGTGGCAGATGGTAGTGAAGGCGAAGTCGCAGCCAGAGGCTGACGATGAATGGGCCGGCGGGACTTTCGCATCTGGGCCGTCGAGAGCGAGTTCTCAAGTTAGGCCAGAGTTTTGAGAAGCAGCCGCGCTGCGCCTTCCACACGGTGCGCTGTGAGTGAGGGGAGAAGAGGGAGTTTCCTAAGCGGGGGTGTGTAGCCCCTCTTAATCTTCCAAAGATGAGGGGCAGGGGTGAGTGGGATGTTTGCAGCGTGATCTACCACCCCTGCGGGGAATTTAGGGGTGCGTGTAAAAGAGCTGGCGCCCAGCAGGTGTGGGTAACTCTGGGTAGACTCAAGTGAGCCCTGCAGACAGGAAGGGAAACTTTTGAGTAGATCTGCAGAGTGACAGAAGACTAAGAGGACAAAGTGGATACTGAAGACGAGGAAAGGAAAACCGTAGGGTGACAGATAGAATAAAGGACCAAATGCAGGGCAAAAGGAATGCCTTAGGTTGGTGAGACACCCTTCTCTCTCACCTTTGGCTGATGAGGTTCTTATTTGGCATGTTCTTGCAGAGTCTCAGCCATCTCAATGAGTCTGCATCTCATATGGAACTCAGTTTTTACTATTGCTATTAATTTCTTTTATTTGGATTTTACTTCCCTATGATTTCTACCTTCTGCCCTCTGAAATTAGTTTGAAGACATAGATTTAAAAGTGTCTCTTTTGTATTAATAGCTGGTTAGTATAGATTTCAGGAAAAACCATGGAGTGTATATAATTACGTATGTAGGACATTCTTCTTTGCATAATAGCTTATTCAGGATTCTAGAGCAGGAAGGAAACTTTGAGACTGTTCAATCATAACCTATTTTCACTTCTGTTTCCCAGCTCAGCCCAGCCCTTTCTTACTATCCATTCATCTCACCTTTCTGAGATATGCTGTCGAGTTGGCCTTTATGATTTTTACTGAAATGTTCTTTGATTCAATCACAACATCCAATTAAAACTCATAATTTTCAGAAGTGTAGTTAAGTTGTAGATAACCTAGATAGAATCCTACAGAGATGTATTTAAATCCTGTAGAGGAGTTCTATGAAGCAGAGTGAACATCTCTTTGGTGAAAATAAACATGGAGGAGATATTTGCCAACCAAAGATCTCTAACAGTGCTTCTTGTTTATTTTTCCATCGATGACCATACTCTGTCACCAAATGCTCACCACTATAGGACAGTGACAGATGTGCAGCCTCTTCTGTATTTCTTTCTCTTCAGTCCTGTTTTTGAAAAATAAGAAACCATTCTTACCTGGTTTGTCCATGTCTTTTTCTCAAATAGTATCTCCTCTTTTTCCTGTTCCTTTTCAGATATATGGTAATCTCTGCATTAATTTTTCAACTCTTAAAGATTATAAAAATGTGTTCAATAATATTTTTGTACTTGGGAATATATCCTCTCCTTAAGGACATAAGCTCCAAATTAAATAAATGAAATATAGCCTTTTACAAAGGAGGAGGCTACAATGCTTGATAAGAAATGTACTCATTATCTTGCCCATGTAAATTGTAACCCCTCTGTACAGTATTTTCACAATAATAAAAAAGAACATAAAAAAAGAAATATAGCCTTTTAAAAGTATCTTGCCTTTTGTAATTACATTCATGTAAAATACTGTGGCAAACACTGTAATAAATACTCAGATACAATTTCGAATAGATCTAAATTTATAAACAAAAAACAGCTTTCAGTTACTTAAACGGTTTTTATTGTGAAGGTTTGTGGGGTTTGGTTGTTCTTTAATTTATTTTTTTTTTATTGCTGGTCCTGGGGCACTGTCTCTGAGCTTCTTTTACTCAAGGTAAGCACTCTACCACTTGAGCCACATCACCACTTATGGCTTTTTTGAGTAGTTTATTGGAGATAAAGAGGTTCACAAAGTTTCCTGCCAGGGCTGGCTTCAAACTGCTGTGATCCTCAGTCTCCTGAGTAGCTAGGATTACAGGCATGAGCCACTGGCGCCAGCTTGCAAAGATTTATTTATATTTTATTTATTTACTTACTTTTGGGAGGCTGGGAATAGAAGCCTCAGCTGACGAAATAGACAATCGCTTGTCATCCTTAGCTCTATAAAAGCTCTTAAAATGCAAGAATCATATTTTCAAGGTCAGATTTAGACAATCTTATTAGATTGACAATAAAAATATTCATTACCACAATAATTAATAAGCCTAGATTTTTAATGCACACTATGTCCTGTGCAAGGCAGTAACAAGATTTTCAAGTCTTTTGTTTTCCTTTTGAAGAAAGCCTGATGGTTCATCTTAGATTTATTTAAATAAAACCTATAATTATCCTTGAGAACAGATTCATTTCCAATGTAATCCTCATTCAAGAATTCAGAGGCTGGCCGGGTGCCAGTGGCTCTTGTTTGTAATCCTAGCTACTCAGGAGGCTGAGATCTGAAGATCAAAGCCAGCCTAGGCAGAAAATTCCCAAGCAACTCTTTTTTTAAATTTTTTTTGGGGAGGGGGTCCGGTTGTGGGGCCTGAACTCTGGGCCTGGCGCTGTCCCTCAGCTCTTCAGCTCAAGGGTAGCGTTGAGCCACAGCGCCACTTCCAGCTTTTTTCTTTTTGCTTATGTGGTACTAAGGAATCGAACCCAGGGCCTCTTGCATGCAAGGCAAGCACTCTACCACTGAGCCACCTTCCCAGCCCCCCAAGCAATTCTTATCTCCAGTTAACTACTCAAAAGTCAGAAGAGGCGCTGTGGCTCAAGTGCTAGAGTGCTAGCCTGGAGCACAAGTTCAAGCCCCACAACGGAGGGGGGGGGGCGGAGAGGAGGGGAGAGGGGGACTGAAGGGGGGGGCCGGCGGCGTTTGTGGGGGGGGAGGGGGACGGGGGGTTGGAGCCAATCGGAGCAGGAAAGTCCTTGAGACTCTTATCTCCAATTAACTACTAGAAACTGGAAGTGGTGCTGTGGCATGAAATGGTAGAATTCAAATCTTGAGCAAAAAAAAAAAAAAAAGTTCAGGGACAGTGCTCAGTGCTGAGACCCTAAGTTCAAGCCCCATAACCAACAAAAATAAAGAAAAAAAAAAAATTCAGAATGGGACACTTGCATACATACTACTCTACATATTTATCTACAAGTTTACAAGCTTCCACATATAAGGGGAAAATGTACATCCTTTGTCTCGCTTGGCCTGACTTCACTTAACAAAAATTTTCCAAGTCTTTCCATTTCTTTACAAATTGTACAATATCATTCTTTCCAATAAAAAAGTAGGAAGTGGCACTGTAGCTCAAGTGGTAGAGCGCTAGCCTTGAGCTAAAGAGCTGAGGGACAGCATTCAGGCCCAGAGTTCAAGCCCCACAACCGACCAAAAAAAAAAAATCCAATAAAAAAGTAAAATTACACTGTGTGTATGTATAAATCTATATATATGTATCTTTCTCTATCTATCTACATCTATCTATTTATACATATATATATATATATATATATATATATATATATATATCACATTTTCTTAATCCATTCATCCACTGAGGGGCAAGCAAAGTTCAACAAAATAAACACCAGGAAGCAGGTATTTGAACAGGGTGGAGTAGAGGAAAGGGGAAAGGAGTGGAAGAGGAAAAAAGGGTGGGGAGAATTTGGTCAACAATCCAATGTATATCCTACAAAATTTAGAAGAGTAAGGAAAGAGGTGTGTAGGAGAGGAATGGATGAGAATGTTGACAGAGTTGACATTGCTCAAGATGCATTGTGCTCATTCATAAACTGCTTTGTTCAATGGCAACTCCTTTTCACAACTACCTAAAGATAATAAATAAATAGAATTCAGAGAATAAAGAATCTGCAGGGCTGGCTGGGAATTTAGCTCAGTGGTAGAGTGATTGTCTCGCATACATGAGGTGAGGCCCTGGGTTCGATTCCTCAGCACCACATAAGCAGAAAAAAGGCAGAAATGGCATTTGACTCAAGTGGTAGGGTGCTAGCCTTGAGCTGAAGAGCTCAGGGACAGCGCCCAGGCCCAGAGTTCAGTCCCCCTACCAACACACACACACACACACACACACACACAAAAGAATCTGCAGGGCAAGTTGATCTAATTTATAGAAAGCATTTTGAGAGAAAGTAATATTCTATCATTCCATGCAGGTCCAATTTTTCCTGTTTATGAACTTCAGACAAATATAGTTTTGAATCCTGGTTTCTAGCTCCCACCTATGCTCAGTATATAAAATATGATTTTGGAAATATTCTCCCTGCTCTCAGCCCTACTTTTTGCATGTATAAAGTAGTAATAATAATGTCTACATTTTAAAATTTTATGAAGACTAAGATAGCAAAACAACCTAGCACAATGCTTGTTATGTGATAAAGAATAAATATTCATATGTTAGGTCCCATGGATATATTTTAACACTAGAAAACATGTATTAGAGCTTGGCAATAAGACCAACCTGTCATGAAGTAGCCTGACATGGTAAAGAGGGTATAGGATATTTTAACAATGATAAACTAAATGCTTAGCAATAAGTAATTCACTGGGTGGAAGAGTTTTTTGTGTTTTTTTTGTTGTTGTTGTTGTTTGGTTGTTTTTCTGTCGGTCGTGGGGCTTGAATTCTTGGCTTGGGCACTGTCCCTCAGCTCTTCAGCTCAAGCCACAGTGCCACTTCTGGTTTTCTGGTGGTTAATTGGAGATAAGAGTCTCCTGGACTTTCCTGCCTGGGCTGGCTTTGATCTTCAT